CAATCATAAAATGTGGGCTTCTGTGTGTGGCTTCTTTCACTGAGCATGTTCTTAAGGTTCATCCACCTTGTAGCATGTATCAAAGTTTCATTCCTTTTTCTGACTGAGTAGTATTCCATTGTATGGATATACCAGATGTTGTTTTCCCATTCATCTGCCCATGGGCGATGAGGTGGTTTCCCCTTTTGACGGTTGTGAATAGCAGCACTGCTGGGACATCTCTGTCTTCGAGCACTGCCCCCTGATTCCATTTGGGTTCCAGGGCTGTGGCCTCTGGAGTTCCTGAGTCCTAGCCACAGGGTGAGCTCATTCACAACCCTCTTATCAGTGGGTGTACTGAAGCCTCTCCACCTAGGGGGATAGAGGGCTTGGGGCCTTGGGTGGGGAAGGGAAAGGCCCTTGGAGCCCATGTGCCCCTGGCCCTGGGCTTGGCTCTGCATACTTGATCTGGTTTAATTCTGTCCAGAGGGTCACAGAGGAGGAAAGTGCTGGTTTTATCTCCAGCCTGAAGCAGCTCTTTTGACCTCTCCCTCCTGGGCCTGGGGCATGTTTTCAGAGCCAGGGAACTGTGTGGCCTTAGTGTCCTCATCTGTAAAAGGGGATTCTAATTCCTATTTTACTGAGTTGCTGTGAGGTTCAATGTGATGGAGCCTATGTCAAGCTCGCTTCTTTTCCAACAGGGTTGGGAGCCACTGGGCAAGGGACCATCAGGGAAGGGCACTCGGAGGTGGGGCGATTTCAGTGAAATCCTTTTTATTTTTTTAATCCTCACCAAAGGATATTTTTTTCATTTATCTTCAGATAGAGTGGGAGGGAGGGAGGAAGGGAGGGAGGAAAGGAGAGAGAGAAGCATCAATGTGAGAGAGACACATGATTGGTTGCCTCCTGCACAAACCCAACTGCAACTGAGGTATGTGCCCTTGACTGGAATCGAACCTGAGACTCTCTGGTCTGCGGGCTGATGCTCTAACTGCTGAGCCAAACCAGCCAGGGCAGTGGAATCCTTTTTGATTGACAACCACTGGGGCCTTTCTGGGTCCTCTTAGAAGGGGAAGGAGCTGAGGTTATTTTTGTTTCCAGGTTTAGCTCTCACTTCTGGAAACTTGTCCCTAACTTCCTTTTTCTGCAGTTAACTTTGGTGCTTAGTATATGCATCTGTGGAAATGGGCTTCTTCCCATTTTACCCCCAGGCACCATGAGGCTTTGAGCTAATTTGGGAAAGATGAGCTTTCTGTTGATTGTATTCTTTTGAAAGGTATTTATGAAGTGTCCACCATACCCGGTATCTTGCGAGGTGTTGTTTCCAAGGGTCTGTTTCCCCTGTGGCCAGTGGAAGACTGGGGGCCTGGCTGATGTGACTTTGGGGGCCACGCTGGCTTTATCTCTCACTGACCAGCCCTATGACCCTGGATGGCAAATCATTGGCCTTCCACTTTCTTCATATGTAAAAATGGGGGTTAATGTGGAAATTAGTTGCCTTCTTTGCTTGTTATTGTGTCAACTAGTGATCTTTTGGTTGTAAATAAGAGACAGCCCAAATAAGAGTCATTAAATAATGAGTGTTGCATGTCCCCAGCCAAGAAATCTGGAGGTAGAAAGGACCTAGGATTGGGTGAGTTGGCAGCTCAAGGAGCCAGGTGTTTTCTCTTTCCCTTCTTTAGTCATCCTTAGCAGATGGGTGATTTCTCCCCTCCTTGTCACACAGTGGCTGCAGTTGCTCCAGGCATCACAGGCAGACTTGATGAGTCCAGCAAAGCAGGATGTCCTTCCATGTCATTCTTTTTTTATTAGTGAGGAAGCTCTTCCCCAGGAGTCCCCTTGCAGACTTCTCTTAGGTCCCCTCTTCCCATGTCTTAATCTGAGGCCAGGATTAAAGTGTTGATGCTTTATTTGGGAAATCAGGCCCACGGAGATCAAGATGAAGGAAAACAAGGGGAAAGGTAGGGAGCCACGTGGTGCAGTGCTATTATACTGGCCGTTGTTTCACTACGAGCCTCAAAGCGATGCAGGCTGGCATGTTCACATGGCACCCAGGGCCTTCTTTGGGAGGGTTGCCAGGAGAAACTGTACCCATATTTGTCAGAAACACTCTTATTTTGCTTGCTGGAGTTTTTGGAGGGTAGAGAGAAGAAAGGAGAACACTATTAATCTTGTTTACAATTAATTTTGCAACTTTCCCTAAATCCTAGTAAATTACTCTCCAGCAACTTTGCATTAGGAGGTATTGTGGCTAATGATCAAGGACCCGCACTCTGGAGCCAAGACAGCCTGGATTCGGATCCAGGGCCTGCAGCTCACGGGCCAATACGGACCTGTGTCTACCTTTTAGGGTCCTTTGGAGGATTTAAGTGAGTCAGTATCTGAAAGTACTTGGAACAGTGCCTGGCAGAGTCAGCACTGCGCATGTTAAGTAGAATGATGCATTGAGAATACAGAGTCCAAGCTGCGATTTTAATCTCTGGAAAGCTGCCTCTATCCATGATGGTGATCCTCACACTGGTCCCTCGAGAACTCAGCGTCTTTGACACATTGTCCTGTGTAACGATCGTCAGCAGTCAATGTTGACTGACTCTAGGACAGGAAAGGACACAGAAGGAGATGCACAGACACTCTTTACCTCCATGTGTGCCCAGCTGTGACTTCCCCCAGAGACAGGTACCTGCCCCAGGGGCTCTCTCCATCTGTCCTGCTGTGGTTTGGTTCACCTGCCTCCCTTTCTCTCTCCCACCCCTCCCTCCCTCCGCCATGAGCCCCCACGACATGGCTGTCTGCTCTAGGCAGAGAGTGAGTTCAGTGGGTCGTCAGGGCCTTCTACCCTGAATTACTTATTTACAGACTTATCTTCATTCCTTTACTTTTCCGTAAACAGTTTAAGGGCAGGCCCAGAGCTTTCATGTTTCTCAGTAATATATGGGTGGATTCCAACACATAGATGTGCATACAGAGAGGAAAGAACATTGCAAGGGGCTGGGAGGTGCCATCATAAGGTTATGTTAGAAAGATGAGCTTTCTGTCGATTGTGTCCTTTCAAAAAGTGTTACGAAGTGTCCACCATATTGGGAATCTTCTGGGGTGCTCTCCTCAAAGGTTTAATGTTTCTGGGTCAAAAAAAAATTGTTGCCCTGAGCTACATGTCTAATAACCAACTCATTGTTTTTCTCCCTCTCTCCTGGGACCCATCCCACACTCTGTGGATTGACACATAGCATCGATTGAGGAGGCTGGAGTCAATAAGATGAGCTGAGAAAGTGTAGGCCTGAGATGAGGGCATGAGGGTCTTGTGGGTGGGGTGATAGAAGTCTGAGAGTCGGGGCTGGGTAGGGTAGAAGAAACAGGACTTAGTCCCCATTGCAGGGAGTGAGGAGAGAGAGGAGGAGTCCTGGGTTCCTTTGAGGACTGGTTTCTGGGCCACTGGGAGAGGGGGGTGGGGGTAGGGAGCAGGTCCTTCTTTCTGCGTCCCTAACCCATGTGCTGTCTTCGTCTTTGCCATGTGCAAATGGTGGGATAAGAGGAAGGGTTGCTGGGCTGGAGAACCAGGCTCCTGAACCCAGCCGGCCTTGGCCTTGCTGTGGAACCGTGGGGCTCGCTTTTTCTCACCTCTGAACCTTAGGCATTGCCTCGTCTCTAAGACAAGAGGCTTGCTCTTCTCTTCAGTGGCGTTGCTTGAGTGCCCACTGTGTGCACCATTCTGGTTTCTGTTCTCGTGGAGTGTACACGTTGGTTGGAGGAGACTTACATAATTGAGGTACACGTTGAGGAGAAAACACACCAGTGATGTACGGAGAGTGAGGGGCACTCACTTCCATTGGTTGGTTGGAGAAGGGCTCGCTGAAGAGGTGGCATTTAGGCCATGCCATGGGAAGGTCTGGCCAGAGTGCTTTGGAGAAGCCAGTAAGTTCGTAAAGACTCTAAGGGGGAAACCAGCTTCAACAACACTGCGAGGGCATGAGGGGCGAGGAGACTAGAGAGGCCATAGGCCGTGGTTCAGAGTTTAAATTTTATCCTAAGTGCGATGGGAAGTTGGAGGACAGTTTTTTTCCACGGTGGTCGCTTTTGATAGTTTTCCTGTTTGCGAGGACCAAGCTTTAAGAAATCCTGTTATTAAACAATAGAACGCACAACTTAGGCTTTTAAAGTATGGGGAAATAGCCTGGCCAGTGTGGCTCAGTGGTTGAGCGTCGACTCATGCACCAAGAGGTCACTGGTTCGGTTCCTGGTCAGGGCACATGCCCAGGTTGTGGGCCCAATTCCCAGTGTGGGGCATGCAGGAGGCGACCAATCGATATTATCTCTCATAGATGTTTCTATCTCTTTCTCCCTCTCTCTCTAAAAAAATCAGTAAAGAAAAAAAAGTATGGGGAAATAATTTATGGATCATTATAAATAAGGACCCCCAGGGGCCGAAAGATGGCAGATGAAACACTGTCAAATAAAGTCTTTAAGGTCCTGTTTCAAACCTTCATTCTTCCCAAAGCTGCCATAGGATTGAAAAAGATTACTGCCACCTACTGGTAGAAGGAAGAAAATGAATTTTTGCACAATGAAAATCCCAAGCCCAGTGGATTCCTTCTGTCCCACGACTGTCTTTATACTCTGCATTAGAGACCTGGACATATCTCTGGGCAAGGCTGGCATGGTCCCACCTTCCTATCTTTCTGGCCAGAGAATCTGGACTCTGTTTCTGGGTCCTTCTACCTCAATTCAAGATGCAGTGGCAGGAGGGAGTGTTGGGTGTATCTGTGAGGACAGGCACTGGCAAGCCAACAGCCGGTCGTCCGTCCTCCATACAACCAAGTGAAGCCATTGTTTGTACTTGACCCACCGTTACACCGAATTCCTGAATTCAGTGTCCCTACACCCTAACTTTGGCCAGCAGGCCTTAGCTTAATAGACTTCTTTGCAGCTTGCCCCGTTATCAAATTCTCAGCTGCTTTATTTCTGATTTGCATTTTTCGTAACTGAGTGAATCTGCTGACTTCCGTTTTCTTTTTTTGTTACAGATTTCGTGCACAGATGCCTGTAAGTACCACTTCCCTCTCCACTCTTGTGTTGTTCGCTACTGCCCCCCGGTGGACACAGCAGCATTGACAGCAATGTGGAAAGCACAGAAAATGCTCATTTCTGAAAACCCGCTTAGTTTCCAATTGTTCTTTAAATGTGGGGTGGGGGTGAAAAAGGCTAGCGAAAGAAACCATTCAATCAGTTGTGCAACCTGGACAAATAAAAAATTTGTGTTTTCTGTCATCTGTTTTTCCAACCTACACCTTTTGGGTGATTAAAAAAAAGAACAGTTGAAACCATGATGCAGTATGATTTATTTTATGTGCTGTGATCCCGCAAGTATTTTCTTGGGTTGGTGGCTATACTGCCCCATGAATTTTATACTTTTGTTTTTAATCTTCACCCGAGGGTATTTTTCCATTTTATTTTCAGACAGAGTGAGAGGCAGAGATATATAGAGAGAAACATTGATGTGAGAGAAACACATTAACTGGTTGGTTGCCTCTCACACAACCCTGACCAGGGCTGGGGACCCAACCACAACCAAGTTACATGCCCTTGACCAGAATTGAATCTGTGAGTCTTTGGTGTGCGGGCCAATGCTCTAACCGCTGAGCCAAACCGGCCAGGGCTGCCCCATGAATTTTACAAGGTGTACAGGGTCTGCATAACCTTTAGAAAACCAGACAGCCTTTGTGCAGTTTTTTCCATGTGGAGGGCTAGGTCCCACTGGTCCTCCCTGCTCTATAGTAAAGTGAGAAAAATAAGGATATGAGAATAAGTTTTTAATGAAGCTAAGTATATTCACTTTAAAGTGCTGCCTATTCTGGGATTATGTACTTAATAATTTTTTTGGTTATTAAGATGTTTTAATGAAGAAGTAAAGAGAATAGTAGTTGGTAGATTTTTTTTGTTGTTGTTCAGGTAGAGCGGGAGGGAGAGAGAGGAAGAGAGAGAGAGAGAAACATAGATGTGAAGGGACACATCGAGTGGCTGCCACCCGCACGACCAACCAGGGCTGGGGACAAACTGCAACCGAGGTACGTGCCCTTAGCGGGAACCGAACCTGGGCCTCTCTGTACCGCAGGCCGACGCTCCAACCACTGGGCCAAACCGGCCAGGGCGATTTTTTTTTTTTTAATGTACCTTTTTGTAAAAAATTGGTAGCTGTTGTCTGTCCTCAAAATTTGGAAACTTTTTTTCCCCCTGGGATTGGTAAAATCCCAAAGTCTGTGAACCATAGAGATAAAATAATTAGACTGTTCTCAGAGTACCATGTAAAGGGGGCAGACATTGCTGAAACCTTTGAATAAAGAAATCTCATTTAATAACAGTAATTATGTCAAGTCTGTGCAAACAATGGGAAGAATTCTGCAGTTGCTTTTTCTGCCCATTTAATCAGTGTGGTCAGTAAGCTGGTACCTCATGCAGACATGAGTCACTGGTATGAAGGAAGAAAACTTCTATGCATAGAGGCAATATTTTAAAGTAAGAGAAGGGGAGGTGAGGAACTATTTTTTACATTTAAAAAATTGTAATGAAACGTGTTTATAGCGGGTATATGGTGGCGGTGCCATTGTATCAGTTTGCATTTTGTTTTTCTCTCCTGTGTTCTAGGTGTCTCCTGTGATCTCAGTATAGTCACATCTACAATGACCGAGATTCATATTACTAGTAAGGCACCAGGAAACTTTTCACTAAAAAGTGTGGCCAACAGGAGCAACGAGAACCAGCACCATTTCCAAAAGGACAATGACAGCATTCTTTCGGCTGTGGGGCTGACGCCTGGGACGAGCTATCAAATCAGATACTCAAATGACTCTACTACCTGCTGCCAACAAGCACAGACAAGTGAGCGGCACTCTTTCCTTGGGATGGATTGTGACGTTTAGAGAATAGAAATGTCTTTATATCTGTATTTGAGGTCACTTTTCTGAACTTCAGCAGTAAAAAGCAACTTGTGTATTTCTTCTTCCCATTCTTGGCTGGAGGGTATCCGGGTTCCTCTGAGCGCTGCTCTAACCCCCTCCTGCTTGGTCGTTGAGCAGCACTACCCTGGCCGAGCACAGACGTAGAACCAGAGACCCAGGTTGGCTTCCTGGCTCTGTCAGTTTCTAGCTCTGTTCCCTGGGCAAGTCACTGGGCCTCTTAGACCTCCGTTTCTTCATCTTTATTAAAAACAACAACAACAAAAACCAAAAAGCCACACATATGCGTGCTCACGCGTGCGTGTGCGTACACACACACACACACACACACACACACACACACAAAGACACATGCTTTATAAACATATTGTAAAATCGTGCTTTATTTTCTAAACTATTGAAACTTTCAAAACCTGCTTTTCTAAAACCTTCCCAGAATCCCTGTATGGATCATACAATCCCTGTATGAATTCTCAACACATTCCTCCTTCTTTAAAAACAATGCCATAGCCCTGGCCGGTGTGGCTCAGCGGTTAGAGCGTTGGCCGGCGGACCAAAGAGTCGCAGGTTCGATTCTGGTCAAGGGCACGTACCTCGGTTGCTGTTTGTCCCCGGCCCTGGTCGGGTCGTGCAGGAAGCAACCAAATGACGTGTCTCTCTCACATCGATGTTTCTCTTTGTCTCTCTGTCTCTCTGTCTCTCTCCTTCCCTCCCACTCAATCTGAAGATAAATGGAAAAAAGTATCCTTGGGTGAGGATTAAAAAAAAAACCAACAACAACAACAACAACAAACAGTGCCACAGCCTTCCCCATGAAGTTGTTGTGAAGCCTTAATGAGCATATGCATGTGTGTGCGGTACCTGGTACGTGCTGGAGCCTGCACCCAGTAGCTCTGCTGTTCTTGCTGCCTGCACCACGGTGATGGTGGCTGTTGCTTTATCTCCCCCTCGCCACCCTCAGCCTTGATTGTCACCAACACCATAGCAATAAGCTGCCCAAAATGCTGCCATGCACCTGTCCCTCTAGCACGAGGAAGCTCAAGTCCAGAGGGGCTCCCTGGCATGGAGTGGCTTCAGGTGTGGGTCCCAGAACTCTTCCCTGCTGTTCCTTTTCTGTTTGTCGTTTCTTCTCCTGCCCCCTTTCCAGGTTTGGGTAAAGGGTTGCATCTCCCAGGTGCCAGGTAAGGCACACACTCCGTGCTGGCATTTGAAGGTCAGGTACATGCGGAGATGGTGTTACCTGTACTGTCTCTTCGCCTCTGGGCTCAGTCCCTGGGTCCTTGAGAAGAAGGGTCTCATTGCTGGCGTCCTCTTTGTTGCTCGTTGTTTCTGCTCAGTGTGGAGTGTAGTTAGGAGGCGTCGACTTCGAAGTTATAGCTCCTGTTAATAACCACAAGAACTTCCGTAGCGTTAAGGTCCTCTGATCCACAGTGTGACAGATGACGACAGTGAGGTTCAGGGAGGTGAGAAGACTTTGAGGAAAACCACATGACGAATGACTAGCGGGGTTGGACTCCAAACCCCGATTTTGTACATGTCCTTTTCCAGCGATCATGTTGTCATGTCATGTTGCCCTCATCCCCCACCCTTCATGTTTAATGTAGTGTATTAGAGCTGTCAACAGAGGGACCCGAGACGGAGGGGTTTGAAGGGACACTTCCAGTCACACAGCTAAGGCGGGAGAGCAGGTCCTTCTGTCCAGGTCTGGATTCTAAGACCAGTTTTCTCCTCTTTATGCGGTTTGGCCCTTGTCATCATGCCAGACAACTGCAGCTTCCTCCCGAGTCCAGGGCTTGATGTTATCAGATGATTTTGCGCCTTTTGATGCCTCTTGGCACATGACTGTTGTCTGAGAACGGGAGATAGACTCACTTGAATCTGAGGTCCCTGTTTGTAGCAGCTTCTGTGCAGATTCAACCCTTGTTCAGGTCACAGCCAGCATGGCCAGCCTCTGTCATTTCGTCTCTGTTCTAAAGCCTTTTGTTTTACAGACACATGTAGACATGTATGTATATGTGGCTAAATGTATCTTGTTGGGGATTCGGGGGGAGATGATATAAAGAGAAATAAAATTCTAAGATTTGCAAAATTCCCTTCTGGAAAGTTCATATACAGACCAGAGCCTTGCTCTCACATTTCTTTTGTGAACATAATTTTTTTTTTCTTTCCTTTTTCTTTGGAAACAACATTGGAATAGAACCCAGTCCTGTGTACAACCTTGGAGCTGCTGCTGTCAACACGACCAGTGTGACTCTCACATGGGCAAACGGTGACTCGGCAGCTTCTCTTTATGAGTATGAAGTAAAGTACGAGATGGACAGTAGGCAGCTGAATCTTTCTGTAAATCAAACAAGCATTAACATCCGGGACTTAAGTCCAGGGACTTTGTACACCTTCTCCATCACTCCAAGGATAAACGGGATTTTGGGAAATGCCACGTTCATAAGTGTCACAACAGGTAAGATGACTAGTAGCTCCCTGCAGTGACCGTGAACCATTCCTTCTTGCCCCGTAGCCTAGAGCCTTGTCTGTTCAAGTTGCTGGTGGAAGGAAATTGGTTTTCATTGACTGTGGAAGAGGAGAAAGGATTCTGTATTGTTTCAAGCCCAGGAGTTCAGGTCACCTGATCATTCAGTATGAAGGTCCTTCGTGGTTGGGGATGTTTTAACTAATTCCAGCTGTTTGGTTGTAAAAATCTTTTGTTATTATTGGTTAATACTTTTCTGCTAAGACTCGGGAGCAGAGACTCCATTGGAAATATCTTGATGGTGTCAGTAAGTACAGGGCTTCTTCTAAGCTCTCCAGAGAAGTTGGTGTTTCTGTTGGGGATGACACTTTGGTATATTTTATAGAGGAATGTGTGTTTCAAATGGAAGAGCCCAGTGACATTTGATGATGCTCACATTTGCATGAGGCTTAGATTTGTGTTTAGCTTAGATGTCAATATCTCAAGCCACCTGTTACAGTTGTCAAATTAGCTCTCTCTCTTTTTTCTTAATGGAAAAGAACCAAAAATATAAAAAAAGGGATGAGAGGCTCTTTTTAAGCTGAGAAGACGCAAACATTTAAAACAAGGTCCACTGTTGTGGGTGCAGTCTCGTTGGCTGTGAAGCCTGACCCCGTGGAGCCCACGGCTCGAGGTGGCCGCCTGGGCAGCTCCTTCGCACACGGGGCAGGCAGACACCAAGCCAGGGCTTTTCAACTGGTTTGTCTTCAGCCAGGAAACAATTTGTTTAAGCAAAATCTTTCCCAGAAGCCCAGTAAGTAAAAAGAATTGGAGAGAGAGGAGCTAAGGGATGGGGTGTCTCAGGGACCTTCAGAAAGCCCCTGAGCTCCTCTGAGCACAGTTTTTGAGGGATGAAAACACCCGCCCCCTCCAATGAAGGTTCCTGTATCACATTGTGAAAGAGAGGAAAAGAAGGAGAGAGAAGAGAATGAAGGAGGAAATAGAAGACAGAACTTAGAAATGGTGATGGGGACAAGGGGATGGAGAACTGATGACACTGGGAAAGGGGAGGTGTGAGTTGGCAGGGAGCATCCAGCCAGGAGCTGAGGGTCTTACTCTACCCGACCGTCCCTGAGGACGGCTGTGCTCATCAGCTGCTGTCTACTCAGCACCTGCCATGATTCTGTCCTCATGGTAACCCCGGGGGCTACAGTGGAAGAAACTGTAAAGCTGAGAAGTTAAGTTTCTTGTGAGATCCCAGAGTTACAAGTGGTGGGAACCAGGGGACCTGATTCCTGACCCCTCTGGGACAGGGATGTTCCTAACAGGTACCCAGAGTCATTGAGCTGGCTAGTTTATTGGTGTTCCATTAAAAGACACACGAGTGACCCAATTTAGAAATCTTTGCATCAGAAACATGTGCTATGAAGACGGGAACCACAGAGCGGATCAGCAATGCCGAGGCTGCTGACTTCGCGTCAGCCCCCTGCAGGGCGTCCACTCCATCCGCAACACTGCCCACACTTCACATGCCTGAGGCTGGAGCCCTGGCTTCTAGTTCCCCGACGCTCCTGAATGTGCACTCTTGAGCAAGTCACCTGCCTCTCTGGAACTCCACAGTCTCATCTTACAAAGGAAGGGAGTGGATGTCACTTTGGCTGAAATGGTTTGATTTATATCACTGACAGCCAAGTAAAGTGATAGAAAGAACTGTACAGGGATAATATGGATTGCACATTTTCTAAAAAATCCCCTTGGGTTTGGAATGCAGGGGTGAGCTCCTTGGTTGCAATGTCTTAGTGTTACAAAATGATATGATATGTATTGTCTTGACTCAAGACCTTTCGGCCTGGCAAACAATCACTTTATTTGATGTTTTGTTTCTGATGTCTAAAACAGATATAATTGAATGCTGCTGTTTGAAAGGGATAGTTCAGAAGATTGTCCAGTCACTGTTGGTCCACAGTCTTGGAGAAGAGTATATAGATCCTAAAAACCCCTGGCTTTACGATGTATTGTGTTTTCCTCCTTTCTGCATATGATGTGTATTTTTTCATGCTGTGCGTTGATGAAATGGCACTAGACTGATACAAAGGAAGTGTTTTTAGTGGGTAATAGTAACACATCATTGTCCCAGGCATTCTTTATGAAAGGTGCTTACACATCTCCTGTTCCATCAATGCCCATCATGTGTTTTTAAAATAGAGCCGCTTCCAGTTTCTGGTCTTGAAGTTGCCTTCGAGGGTGTGACAGAAGTTGCTCTTACCTGGGAGAATAATAACAGCACAGCCACCTGCCGGATGCTCGTTGAAGCCATGGGAAGCCATGAGGACTTGAATCAAAACTTAGCCATCAATATTTCAAACCTGAAGCCAGGGATGAAATATAAGGCCACCCTACAGGTTTTGGTATCTGAAACACAGAGAGACCCGGTTGGAGAACGTGGCTCAGGTGAGTTACAAGAGTGTGCTTCTCATCTACTTGCTCGTTTTGCAGCTCAGTATTTAATACTTGAAAAAAAAATCTTGTTCATACACACACACACACATATATTTTTTGTTTGTTTGTTTAAATCCTTACCTGAGGATATTATTCTGTTTATCTTAGATAGAGGGGGAGGGAGGGAAGAAGGGGGAGAGAGAGAGAGAGAGAGAGAGAGAAACATCGATGTGAGAGACACACATCAGTTGGTTGCCTCCCGCACAACTGGACTAGGGCCGGGGACCCAACTGCAGCTGAGGTACGTGCCCTTGGCTGGAATCAAACCTGAGACTCTGGTCTTCGGGCTGCCACTCTAAACGCTGAGCCAAACCGGCCAGGGCTCATGCTTATATTTGTATAGAGTTTTAGAATTTGTAGAGGGCTCCTGCTGCACGTTTTAGTTCCACCCCTTACCTGTGCGAGGAAGGAGGGAAATGTATTTTTATTTTACGGGTCAGCACACTGGGGCTCGAAATGGCACTGGGGTTGCACATTCCCGGGGGCTGGCGTCCAGGAGAGGGCTGGCCCATGCAGCTCTTCAGACTTCCAGCTGAACAGATACCTGTGTTAACCCAAGTCAGGCCACTGAAGCGACTCCCCGATCTCCCGAGGAAAGGGGTGCAGAGGCAGGTCTAGCAGATGCCTCCTCATGGGCAATGTGCGGTCACTGGCAAATTTCATAGCATTTTCGGGGTAGCTCTGTGAACCGAGAACAAGTATTTTATCCCATTTTACACATAAGGACACAGAACTTCCATGTGGGTATTAGGATTCCTGATTGCAAGAGACAGAAACCATCCTTCCCGTAGCTTAGACTAGAAGAGCAACTTACTGGCTCGGGTACATTTTCCTGCCATGGGCGTCCGGGCCTTAAAGAAAGCAACGGGGTGACGCCCATCTCTTCTTCCTGCTCCTTTCCTTTTATCGGTTTTGTTCCCAGAGTGGCTCCCTCCACACAACTCAAGGAGAAAGGCCACCAGCAGTCCCTCTTTTTCACGCCCTGTCCGCAGGGGTCTGGACTAGGGGAACAGGTGCCCGAGTGGGTTCTGATGAACCATGTTTGAATCATGCGCTGTCCCCGGAAAACCGTGCCTGGGCTTCAGTGGGAGAAGGTGGTTTCCTGAAAGAAGGGAGAGAGATGCAAATAGACGGGTTTGAAAGAGAAGCACAGACGTCTGTGCTGCTTCCTGGGACACAAGTACAGCGGGCAACATCTGCCCCGCATCGGGGCCTTTGCAGGCGCAGGTGTCTCGGGTGGGGGGAGGAGGGCAGCAGGTACGAGTGCCCACTGTGGGGACAACAAGGCGGGCAGGTGCTTCTGTCCCAGTTAATGTCTTTGCCTTTTGTGTTTGAAACAGACGCCGTGAGCACAGAGAGCTCGGCCCAGGCCGCCGGGAACCCTACTGCCCCTGCGTACGGGTATCACCTGAAGCATGAAGACGCAGCCTCTGTTGATCCTCTGGCCAACACGGAAGTCCTGCTTCTTGGGTTAGAGTCTGACACACGGTACAAGGCCACGGTTTATTCTCAAGCACAAGCTGGCACAGAAGGACAGCCCCAAGCCGTAGAATTCAGGACAAGTATGTTCGATTTCATCAAACGGCTTCGGCCGGCGTTTCTCTCACAAAGCCTCGTCCTCTGTGGTTCTGAGCAACCTCTTGCTTCACAAGCGGTTCTGTTGTCGCATGGCATTTTCCAGAAGAGATTTTGGGCAGAGCAGGCCCGTGGAAATTCTTCTTAACCCTGTGGCCCAGATGCCTCTTTCACCGAGCTCGGGGAGGCGTAGGGAGCAGCCCTGGTGGGCAGACCCTGGGGGCCTCATGTTGTCCTTCGTTTCTCTGCCCATGAGCCAGTGAGACAAGTGGGTGTAATATTTTTCTGGCATAAACCGAGACTCATTTTGTCAGCGCTGGTTAAATATTTTCCCCTTGAGATAAGAGAATGAGTTTCCTCTTTTGGTCCGGCCTTGGAAAGCACTCTGCCTGTCTGTGGGCACTTGTGACATGCTCGTCACTGCTTTCTGCCTCCACTTTCCCAGCATTCCCACTCTGTAGACTGACCAGTACGTGACGGTTGTCTGGGTGCTGGTGAGTGGGTCAAGAAGTGCATGGCCCCTACCCCCAGGGAACTTCAGTCGAGGCCCACATCCTCAGAACAGCACACGGTTGGCCCTGTGGGCTCAGGAGCAAATGTCCCAGCATCGTAGTTCTCGGGGGCTTGGTTGCAGGCAGCGTGACCTGACTCCAGTTATCTTATCCAAACATATATCTAATCTGAAGGGCTGTTGTAGGCCCACAGAACAGAGGGGTGGTGGTCGGGGCTGGAGGATCAAGGACAGAAAACAGATGAGCATCAGGAAAGTCTGGAGGCTGGACCACACTGGACCTTGTGACCCTCTCAGGATTCCAAGTCCTGAGATGGAGAGGTGTCACATACCTGCTTTCTGGATTTCTGTGGTGGGGATGCTGTCCCCCAGCTTCTATACAGGTGGGAGGCACTTCCTCCCACCAAGGGGTGCGGGGTGCTGTTCGGAGAGGGGGTTGGGTGCTGCACAGGGTACCCGTGGTCACGGTCCACGAAGGGGTCCGCCACATCACAGGGAGAACCAGGAGCAACTGTGCTGTTGCAGTTGGCCAGGTTGTTACTTCATAGGAAAAGATGCCTGACTTCTGCTGGGACCCCATCCGCTTGTGTATGTTGTGGTTGAAAGGTGCAGGATAGGAAGGAACCATCGCTAAGAGTGTTTCTTATCTAGACGACATGCCCCGATGACGGCTTTCCTCTCTCTCCCTCTGGCTTGGCCATCCTGGTCATTGTGAACACCTCTTGTGTGTTCACAGAACCCATTCAGGTTTTTGACGTCGAAGCTGCCAACATCAGCGCCACGAGCATGACCCTGACCTGGAAAATCAACGATAATGGGTCGTCCTCTGTCTACACCTACAAGATACAAGTTGTTGGGAAGACCGATTCTCTCAATCTCACTGTCAGTGAGACTCAGGCCGTCATCACCCCACTCAGCTCGAGCACCTTGTACAGCGTCACAGTGCGTCCTTTCCTCCGGGGTGGTTCCGAGGGCACGCCGGGCTTTCTCCAAGTGTACACCCGTGAGTTCACATGTTCTCGCTGACATTTCTCGCCTGCCCGCCCGGTACGAGGCTCTGTTCCTGTCCTGCAGGAAAGGGCAGCTGAGTGTGGGAGTCCATAGGACTTTTACCCGTCCGCATCTGCCGCACGGCGCCAGTGATCGCCGACTGACCTCGCCACGCGCCCGCGTGGTGCCCTGCGTTTTCCTCACTCTGTCCCATTTACTGCTCACGGCCCTGTAGCATGGTTGGCGTGAGCCTGTTTTACAGACGAGGAAGCCAAGGCTGAGAGAGGTGCTGTAGGCAGGGCTCACACCCGGCAAGTGATGGAGGTGGGATTCGACAGCGGGGGTGTCTGGACTCCAGCCTGTGCTTGTAATGACCATTCTAGTGTGGCAGAGACCCGGAGCCAAGTGCTGCATGGAGACAAAAGAACCTGGCTGTTTATGGCCCCTTGTCCTTAAGGTGCTGACGTTATTGTTAGCATTTCTCTTTTAGAGTTATCTGTATAGCTTGAGGGTTACCCCTGCCCCAAATCAGAACTGCAGGCTATTCCGATGTAAGCAGACACCTAAGGTGCTGACGTTATAATGAAGCAGGGCTCATCCCTTGTCTGCTTAACTGTTCCTTAAAGATACACTGGTAAGTCCTGGCTGGTGTGGCTCAGTTAGTTGGGCCTTGTCCTGTGCACCACAAGGTTGCTGGTTTGATTCCTGGGCACGATCATGGATGTAGTTTTCTCTCTCTCCCTCTCCCTTCTTCTCTCTCTCTAAAAAATCTAAAAAAAGATAAGATGATACAGCACATTAAAAACTTTTTGTTCCAAAGAAGGTCCAGTAATTTAAAGTAGAACAGTAACGGTATACAGTAGTGAGTAGTATTATACTATAACAGGATTGGGATAGCAGTGGCCTTCACGGTAGGTGTTAGGATCTCTGTTTTACTGATGAGAAAAGTGCAGCTCAGCACGGCCGAACAGTCGGCCCAAGGCCACAGAGCAGGGACTTGAACCCAGGGGTCCTGGCTCTGGACCCAGGGCTCATCCCACAAGAATGCGTTACTCGACCGTCTCCTCCTTTCCCGGAAGCACACTGGCAGCGCCCAAGGTCCTACTGCAGACCCTGAACCCTCGACCCCCGGGGGGCACGCCTCCTCTTGTTTCCTGTGAATGACCTTGAACAACCTAAGTGAACCGTTGCTGCATTCTTGTGTCCAAGTGTTCTCTCAGTGGCCAAATACCAGTTTTGGAGATGGGGATTCACACTGTGGGTGACAGTACCAAGAAGAGAATAAGAGATCAGATGCCACTGAACCTCAGTGTTAAGTCATTTTGTGAGGTTCAGTCACCCCGTCTGCTGGAGTCAGATTCTTATCTGGTCCTCCACTTTCTTCCCTCAGGTCCGCATCCAGTTTCTGACTTGCGAGTGACGAGTATCACCGTAAGGAGTATCAGCTTAGCTTGGAGCAGCAGTGACTCGGATTCCTTTAAGATACTTACCACATGGGACGGAACGGAGAAACCTCAGGTGGAAACAACCGACCAAAATAGTATTGTCATTGGTGGCTTGGACCCTGGAGCCAAGTATTGCTTTGAAATATTCCCACAAGGCCCGAATGGCACTGAAGGGGTTTCCCAGACACTGTGCAGTGCAACCGGTGAGCAAACAGGCCGCGCTTTCTGTGCGAGTGATGATGCTTAGAGCTCAGTGTAACTTATACCTGTCAAGTGTTCCAAATATTGCTTTTCTTTTAATTATTGGAAAAAACTAAAAAAAATTTACACTGACATTAATACATATTCATTCTATACAATACAGACAAGAAAAAAAAAATCACATATAAACCATCAGAGATAATTACTGGTAACTTTTGATGTATGATGTTTTATAATGTAAAGATATGTATAGGTAGGCCCTGGCCAGGTAGCTCGGTTGGTTAGAGTGTTATCTCAATACACCAAGGTTTCAGGTTTGATCTCTGGTCAGGGCACCTATAGGAATCAACCAACGAATGCATAAATAAGTGGAACAACCAATCAATGTTTCTTTCTTTCAAAATCAAAAGCAAAATAGCCCATGCCACTGTGGCTCAGTTGGTTAGAGCATCATCCTGATATGCCAAGGTTGCTGGTATGATTCCTAGTTAGGGCACATGCCCGGGCTGTGGGCCCAATCCCTGGTAGGGGGCGTGCAGGAGGCAGCTGATTGATGTTTCTGTCTCACATAGATGTTTCTCTCTTCCCCTTTTCTCTCTCTCTAAAAATCATTAAACTATTCTTTAAAAGACAAAAACACGTAAAAACAACAACATGTATACAGGTATACATGTATATATATACACACACACACACCTATACATATATATTTATTCTTTGACAAACACTGAAGTCATTCTATACATGTGGTTTTGTAATCTGCTTTCCCCCCACATACCAGTTTACTATAAGTATTCTTCCCTGTCAATATAAATATTTCTGTATTTCTATAGGATAATTTTAATACCTTCCTGGCATTCCATTGTCTAAATCAGGGTTCAACAGATAATAATGGCCCAAGGGCCAAATCTGGCCAACTGCCTGTTTTTGTAAATAAAGTTTTATTGAAACACAGGGTCTTCTAGTAAAAATCATATTCAGTTTCCTGATCTGAGTGCTGGCGACCAGACGGGTTCCGCTTATGGAAATTCATCAAACAATGCACTTAGGAAGTGTGTGCTTTTCATATGCATATTATTTGAAACACAGCCATATTTATTTGTTTATATACTCTCTATGTCTTCTTTTGCGCTAGAAATGAGTAATTGCAACAGAGAATACATAGATGGCCCATGAAGCCTAAAATATTTGTTCTATGGCTTATAGACCAGGTTTGTTGACCCTGGTCTTGATCGGTGGTTTTCACAGTGTGGTCCTGCTGTCTCTGCTGGTCCTCTAGATCCAGACAAAGAGTTTGGGATGTAGTAGTATCATGATACTAAAGTGTTATTTGGCTTTTTCACTCTCATGCTCTCATGATGAGTGTCCATTGGAGTTTTCCAGATGCCGTGTGACATGGGATAGCACCATCACTCTGACAGCTAATGAAATGTATGCTTGTGTTTTCTTATGTTTTAAAATTTGCTTCATTTTAAAATTACCAATATAATAAATATAAATAATAACCTCCATGAACCAGAATTCTCTGAGAGCCTTAATAATTTTTAAGTCTGAATTTTACATTAGACTGTTGAGATGGGAGTCTTAATATCTCCTTATATATTTTTTTCTTTCTTTTTGAGAATGTTGATAACGGTACTGGGAGACCCTTGGTATTGTGTGACCTGCCAGTGCCCAGAACTTAATGTAATATTGATATAATATGTTGGGGGTGTACAAAGTGCTGGGCTCGCATTCTGTTTTTAAAAAGTTTTAACACAACTTTATGAGGCGGGTGCTATTATCATCCCTGTTTTCCAGAGTAGGAAATGGGGGCTCTGCACGCTTAAGTAACTGGCCCAGAGCGACAGGGCCATAAACTGGCCTCTGTCTGGTTTGAAGATGGAGGTTGAACCACAGTGTTATGGTGAACATAACACTTTGGTTTTGGTGTAGCTGCGAAATAGTTGAGGCCTATTCGTAAGAAGGCATCTCTTGTACTAGAGCCTATAATAGGGTCTCACTGCATGAAAATCAATTATGGCTGTAAGAAGACTGTAGACTTTTAGGGGATTAACATTCTATTGTTGAACAACTTTTATTATTATTGGAGAAAATCAGTGTAACAGCATTAAAGGCAATTTTGAAAAAGGGAAACAAGTACCAGATGACTCAGCAATTCCACGTATTTTCAGAATTGAAAGCAGGGGCTTAGACACACTTGGGTACCAGTGTTCATAGCAGCATAATTCACAGTAGCCGAGAGGTGGAAGCAACCAAGTACCATCAGCAGATGAATGGATAGACAGTTTGTTGAAAATAATATGCATATGAAAAGCACACACATCCTAAGTGCATTGTTTGATGAATTTTCATAAGCGGAACCCGTCTGGTCGCCAGCACTCAGATCAGGAAACTGTATATGCTTTTTACTAGAAGACCCTCGAAGGGGGACATTTTTATGACAAAGGCAAAGGACCAGAGAACTGATAGGGTGAGCTGGTAAGTCCCTCTGTGTTATGGGGGAGCCACAATTCTTTTTTTTTTTTGGTACGTGACCCTAGTGGGAACTGAACGTGGGACTCTCTGGTCCGCAGGCTAACGCTCCAACCACTGAGCCAAACCGGCAGAGCCACAGTTCTTGAAAGAACTGAGCATGTGTGTTTCTTATCCACATTTTGGACCTTACCCTTTGTGAACTCATTTGAGATTTTGATGGCGAGAGAGCAAGTTCCCATGACAGACACTTTGAAATAAAGCTGGAGGTTATGATGGTCATTAACAGACTTCTTTTTTTTTTTTTTCCTCTCCTCCGACCAGATCCCAGTGCGGTGTTTGACATCCGCGTGGTCCAGGTCACCACGACTGAAATGCAGTTGGAGTGGCAGAATATAGACAACACCTCTGATTACATCTACCGTCTGTATCTAGAGTCTGACAACAGCTCTAGTGAGACGAACACTTCTTACAGATCCATCACTCTCAGGGACCTGATCCCTGGCACCTTATATAACATCACGGTTGTTCCAGAAGTGAACGGCATCCCCGGGCACCCCAGCTCCACTGTGCAGTACACACGTGAGTGTCTTAGGATGCTCTCTTAAGGGAGTTATTCTCCCTGACTTTCACTTGGAGGGTCGGGAGTAGGCACTGGTTAAGGAAGTAGGCATTGTTTCTGGGCTCCAGGTCAAATGTGACGCTATTTAAGCTGAAAACATTGGCCTCAGCAAAGGTTCTGCTCTTCTCATGGGGCACTGTTGCTGAGCCTTGTGAACTTGGAATTGTCTTTAGAAGCAGAAAGTGATCCCATCAGCAAGGGAAACACAACTATTGTGTTTATTCCTTGGTAATACAGCCTAGAGGAGGGTCTCCTTGTCATTGGAGTTGGAAGATATGGCTCAGATGGGGACTTTGCATGCCACAGCGAGGGAGGTGCTTTGCTCACAGTTGATCTGAATAAATGTATGGTAGAGATGGTAGTTTATAATATCCTTTTTGTATATATATATTTTCTTTTATTAATCAGATTTTAAAAACAGATAGGAAAGTATATCTTGAAAATAGACACATATGAAGTGTTAAAAAAAAACCCATGGAAAACTTGATTGTTTTGAGATTTAATCTCTTTACTATTTTCTGAATGTCTTTTTGAGAAGCGTTCCATCCTTTGAATGGACAAATGTTAGATTTATTCATTCTTACCTGAAAGGAGCCAGCCTATTTTATTTTTCTTCCCAATTTCAAACTATATTACAGAGCCATAGTAATTGAAACAGTATGGCCTTAACACAAAAACAGACTCATAAATCTAGAGCCAGGCTATTTTTAGATGCAGTATACAAAGGACTCCTGGAATTTATGCTAATCTATGCTTTTTTTAAAAAAATCAAGGGCCCAGCAATGTGTCCAACATTGAAATAAGTACCAACGTCACAGCAGCAACCTTCAACTGGCAGAACTCTGATGGGGCTGCTCACACGTACACCTACCGCCTTCTTATTGAGAAGGATAGCAATTCCAGCAACGCAACTGAAATAGTCACAGGCATTGGCATCACCTATGCTACAGTCACCGAACTGATACCTGGCTCATTGTACACAGTAAAGATCTTCGCCCAAGTGGGGAATGTCACTGAGTCACTGGCACCTGGCTGGCAGTCATTCTGTACAGGTGAGTAGCTCAGGTGCTTCTTGGACTTCTTCCTGTGGGGTGCTGGCCTTGCAGGTAGGTCCTCCCCAGACTTTAGTTGATAAGGTTTTGTGTGGTGTGTTATAACAGACAGTGAGCTCTCAGAGACATCCTATTAGTTTATTAGTGCTGTCTTGTTGCCCTCATCATTTACTCATTCAACAAATATTTATTGAGCTTTACTATATGTCAGGCACTTCAAAATGACTCAGATAAGTCCAGCTTTCCTGAAACTTTCATTCTGGTAGGGAAGATGTAATAAACAAAATGAATTAATTATTAGATGATGATAACTGCCAAGGAGAGGGAGAAAAACAAGGAAGGGGGAGTGTAGATGTTTATCCAGGGTGCTCAGGGAAGGCCTCAGTGAAAAGGTGACTTTTGAAGGAAGTAAAAAAGCCAGGATATCAGGGCATAGAGCATTACAGGCAGAGGAGCAGCCAGTGCAAAGGCCCTGAGGTTGGCAGGTGCCTGCTGTGTTAAAGGAAGCGCATGAGGCCCAGGTGGCAAGAGTGTGTCCATGGGAGCAAGAGGGCGAGGGGTAGGCAGTGAGGCCCAAGAGTTAATGGCTGGGGCACGGATGAACGTCTAGATTGTAATATATAGTTTGGCTTCTATAATAATAAGAAGAGGCCAAGCATGTATTTATTTATTTTAATTTAAATTAAATTTAATTAAAAAAAAATCCTCACCCGAGGATACTTTTCCATTATCTTCAGATAGAGTGGGAGGGAGGGAGGGAGAGAGAGAGAGAGGAACATCGATGTGAGAGAGATACATAACTCAGTTACCTCCCACACTACCCCGACCAGGGTCAGGGGCCAAACTGCAACTGAGCTACATATCCTTGACCAGAATTGAACCCTCAACTCTTTGGTCCACAGGCCAATGCTCCAACTGCTGAGCCAAACCGGCAAGGGCCCAAGGATGTTTTTAAAATGGATGCTCAGCTTTTTACCTTTCTTAATCCTCCTCTCCCACTACAGGTGTGATAAAGAGAAGGGAAACTCTGTATTTAGCTGAGGGAGCTTCTGGAGACTAGTCCAGGGACTGTTTTGCAGATGGTTAGGGAGACCTCGGCTCACAGTTCTGATTGTGGCCCATGGCCCACTTACTCTCTTTGCACCCACACCTTCCACTCCTTAGACCAAGCCATTCAAGTGTGTTCAGGCTGATTTGGAAGAGGGGAGACCCACTCATTGGATCAGCCTCCCTGGTAGCTGTAGGAGCTGGAACCTTGATGACCTCTGACCTTTCACACTGAGTGAATAAAGAAATCCCTGCAGCTCTGCATCACCTTTGCTAACTCAGGTTCCACCCCACCCGGTCCAGATTGTGATCTTTGGTATTTGGGTGGCTTCCATTGCTGACACTTCTCTGAGCTATAATTATTGCAGCCCCCAACTAGGAGAAAAGTATACATGAGCATTTGTGATGGGGTGGATGGAGCAGGAGCCGTGGGAGGAGGGATGCATTGGGCAGGCTACCTTGCCAGGCCTCAGGTGGAGGATGTGGGAGTTGCACTAAGTGACTTGTGTTCCTGCTTTAAAAAATACTGCAGAGGTAAAGTAATGATGCTATTCTCCCCAGGACACGAATAAGGAGTTTTTCATTTACATCAGTTTGATGTTGGCTTTCAATACAATTCTATTGGCCCTCAGATAAGTAGAGACAAATGACACCCCGTTTTAAAAATGAACAAACTGATACCTTTTACCGTGGATCATGAGGCATGTTGTGTGAAGAGAAAATGCCCTGCACTTGGATTTAGAAAACCTGGGATCCAGTTTTTGCGTCCCCACTCACCCGCCGTGTCATCTCACATGTATCCCGTAACCGCCCTGAGCGTCAGCTGGTTCATCGGCAAAATGGGACAGGAATGCCCCAAATGAGTGACGCCACTGAGGAAGTTGCCAGCACCACGCCGTGATGCTGTCACGACCTCTGACGGAGCCCTGCTCTCTTCCGGCCTTCGTTTCATGTAATCCTCAGAGTCCTGCAGCCGAGGCTCGGGGCAGCTGGATGCTGGACCCAAGGCCACATAGTGTAGTAATGCTCGACTCAGGGTCAGCCTCTGCCTCTACTACCCCACGACACGCCTGCCTCCTCGTCGTGGACGGGCCAGGAGCCTCCTGCTCTCCAAGTTCGTGTTTGCAGAGCAGCGGCCCCGGAGTCTCATGCTGTGCTGTGCTTGCTTTGCAGACCCGGCACCCGTCGCCTCCTTTCACTGTGAAGTGGTCCCCAAAAAGCCAACCTTGGTACTCAAGTGGGCCTGCCCTCCTGGCACCAACACAGGCTTTGAGCTGGAGGTCAGCAGAGGAGACTGGAGGAATATAACACACCTGGAGGGCTGCTCCTCGGAGGACGGTGCTGAGTACCGGACGGAAGTCACATCTTTGAATTTCTCTGCCTTGTATGACATCAACATCACTGCCTTGTCCTGTGAAAAGAGGGCACCTCCCACCCAAAACACCTGCCTCACGGGCATCACAGGTGGGTTTCACGGCGGCAGGGTGGCCTGGTGGCATTGTGGTTGCTTGTGGAAGGCTGACCTACTGGGTCTGCAAATGTGGCCTAGAAATCTGTTGTGTGTGTGTGTTTTAAAAACGTTGCTAAAATCTTGTTTTTGTTGGCATGGACTGTTAACCTAATTCTGTAGGAATCTAATCTAAAGAAGCCGAGTAAGAGAGACTCGTATTTTATATTCCAAAAGTTTCCTTTGCTTTGCACAACAATTCATTGCCCCATTTTCTAAGTAGTGAGTTCCCTTACTACATTAAAGTATTTTTATAGAAATATTCAAATATACAAAAAAGTAGAAGAACGTATCAAGAAACCCACGTACCCACTGTCACCCGGTTGAACGCTTGTCAGCACTTGGCCAACTGGTTTCATTTATATCCTCCTCTATGCGATGACTTCGAGACCAGTCCTGGTCATGCTAGACTTTTATTTGTAAATAAAATGTATATATGTATTGCTCCAAGATAGGGACTCCTTTTTCCTTTCTGTCAAACATAACCCCATTACTGTTATCATCTCACATAGAAATTTAACAATAGTTTTTTCACTGTTATCAGATATTTAGTCAAGATTCATATTTCCCTAGAACCCATGAAGTGGGATCACTCACTGCACAGGGGATCGATCCCCCTAGTTAATCTTCTTGTGCTCATCTTTTTTTGTTGTTGTTGTTTTTGGAAACAATTGCTTATATCTTTGCTTCACTTTTATCTGTCTTTTGCTCCCCATGTCTTTGCCAAAGTTATGCCTTAGATCAGCCTGGTTGAGTTGGTTTTGTTTTGTGCTTTTAGACTCCTGGATATGTTTCCTTTAGGGTAGCAGAATGTTTCCGGACAATTTCTAAAGAATTCGTGGTTGTCATAGTAAGAAAAAAAGGCCTCTTACTTTAGGAACACTGACTTGGAAAGTGGTTGAGGGATTCTGGGGACAGAGCCTCAGAGTCAGAAAAGCAGACCTGGGTTTTAATTCTGTCTTCTGCCTTCTACCAGCTGTGTGATCTCAGAAACATGACTTACGCTCTCTGAGCCTTGTTTTCCTTAGTTGTGAAAGGAGATAAGAATGCCTGCTTTGAAGACTGTTGTACACATTAGATGAGGTAACTGTGTGTAGAAGAACACGTCGGGGCTGCCCTGTGTGGTCGCTCAGGATGTGCACTGCACATTCCAGGGGACACTGTTCACGTGGACCCCGGTGTGCCCGGGGCTCCTTGGAGGTGTGTAGTATACACACTGCACAGGACACCCTGCGTCCACTCCTTTGGGTTTCTGCAGCACCCAGAACATAGCAGAAACAATGACCCTTGCGGGTACTGTTTTGTAGTTCTGTTCCATGCTGTCATCTCCTCGGTGGGTATAACCTGCTGAGGAGCAGGGACCGTGTCTGGTTTGGAATCTCCAGCGCCGAGCACGGTGCCTGGCGGAGAGCAGGAGCTCGTCAGAGTCGGTGGCTCCTGAAGCTGAACAGCGTGTGGCAGGCGTGAGTCATGACCACTGTCATTTAGTCCAGTGATCTCTCACTCTGTCATCTGTCGCTCCCTTTCCGCAGATGAATCTTTACGTACAAATTTAATAGGCTTTTAAAAAAAGTGTACACACTGAACACGTTTTTCATTGAAATAGAAGTGGAGCTGCAGTTTCTCTGAGAGAGGTGGGAAGCATTGCCAGGGAGATGGAGGGATGTAGTTTTTTAGTCGACTTAGTTGGGTGCTCACTGTGTGCCGGGGTCAGGGGCACCCAGGAGGGCGAAGCAGGCAGGGCCCTGGAGCATGGGGTTGAGACAGGCAGCCGCGGGGAAAGGATTTCCAGGCTTGGAGGAGAGTGAGCTGGTGTGCTGGCTGACAGTCTTAGGGTGGGAGGCTGCTGGCTGAAGGCACAGAGCTGCTGGGAAACATGGGAGCCTGGGTTGTAAGTCTCTGCAGTTGACAATTAGACTCGGGGACCACGCCTCCTAGTGGCCACTGCTGTCAGTTACTTGAGAGGTTGCTGAAGCCAGGTTTAGAGCTGTGCTGTCCAACAGAAAATAATGTGATCATCATGCGTAATATAACATATTCTATTACAATAGAATGATATTATTCAAACTTTTGTAGGAACCCATATTAAGAAAATGTAAAATTTCGATCCCATTTTTTTTTTTTTTTTTATCCTCACCCGAGGATATTTTTCCATTTTTTGTACAGATAGAGTGGGAGGGAGAGAGAGGAAGGGAGAGAGAGACAGAAACATCGACGTGAAGGGACACATCGAGTGGCTGCCACCCGCACGACCAACCATGGCTGGGGACAAACTGCAACCAAAGTACGTGCCCTTAGCGGGAACCGAACCCGGGTCTCTCCGGACCGCAGGCCGACGCTCTAACCGCTGAGCCAAACCGGCCAGGGCTCGATCCCATTTTTTTAAACTCAGTATATTAAAAGTTATCATTTCCACGGGTGATCTGTATAAAGCCAGTTGTTAATGGGATATTTTACGTTCTGTTTTGGCATGAAGACTTTGACCTTCAGTGTACCTGACATGTGCAGCACATCGAACTTGGGCTGGTTGCTTTCCACGGGGCCACGGTGGATGGGCCGGTGCGGAGAATTGTGTGTGGTTTGGAGCTCAGTTGTCCAAATTTTCCTAAATCTTGACCATGACGAGGGAAACAGACTGCATGTGGGAGACAAGTTTAGGTAGAGAGAGCCTGTGGAGAGGGCTTATCTCCATTCAGCGTTTTCTTCCGTTGGTGTTCATTCAGAGGGGGCTTCGCACCCAGGCCACGGTCCCACGTGGGCGTCTCTGGTTTCTGTGAGAGGGTTGGTCAGGTTTCTCCAGGTGGCATTTAAACCTCCTCCAGCAGAGCGAGGACTCTCGTGTCATCCCTCTTTCCTTTGTCCCATCATGTTCTCCACCCGTGACCCATCCTAGTGCCCGATGTCGGCCTACGGCTCCTTTGTTCCCACCTCAGAGTGTCCCGTCTCCTTCTCCTTCCCCAGTTCTCAGGAGGGAGAACCTGGCCCCTCAGGGTGGGAGGAAGAAAAGGCAGGTTGTCTTCAACCAACAAGGCTGAGCACAGGAGGCCCCCCGGATGTGGCTGGGAGCCCCGAAGGGGTCCTTGTGAGCTGGGCAGGCCCCCGCACTTCCCTCCCTGCTCCTGGCGTCTGCACGCAGCTTCCAGAGCCAGGGCGGAACCTGAGGGGGGCACCGCCGGTTCTGTCCGGAATAACTTTGTTCCCTTTTCGGTTTCCGATGCCGGATGATCATTTTTCTGTTGTTCTTTTTCAGACCCCCCTTCTCCAGATGGGTCTCCTAATATTACGTCTGTCAGTCACAATTCGGTAAAGGTCAAGTTCAGTGGGTTTGAAGCCAGCCACGGACCCATCAAAGCCTATGCTGTCATCCTCACCACTGGGGAAGGTAAGGGGGTCATTCTGGGGTAAACAGCCAGTGAGTGACGCCCTGACGCCCACTGAGGCGCTTTGGAGACACAAATACACGGTAGCCCACGCTTGGCACTCGGATGGGGTTGGGAGGGGTCAGCCATTTGCCCAGTGATTCAGGTCAGGCAACAAATACTTGAAACTCTGCAGGCCTGACAATCTTGGTTGCAACGATCACCTCTGCTGTTGTAGTGTGAACACAGTGATAGAAGATACAGAAAGAATGAGTGCGGCCGTTCCAATAACATGTTCTTTACCAGACTGGTAGTTGGCTGGATTTGGTCTGTGGACCATAACTTGCCGACCTCAATAAGTTTTCTGTCTCTTTTACAACAAAGGGTCTTATTTTTTAGGTGGCAGAGTGTGTCTTAAGCAATTTTCTTTGTCTCTGTCTCTGTCTCTGTCGCTGTCTCTGTCTCTGTCTCTCTCTCTCTCTCACACACACCCCCAAGTGCACATGTGCAGATCATCAGCTCAGTGTGCCTTCCTTTTGAAAGCAGACGGAATGACTTGCATTTGTAGTGGGAACTTGCAAAGAGCATCCTCATAGCTGAGCGAGCAGGTGGACGAGAGGCTGCTTTTCCTTAAAGGGCTCCAGTACCTTCTCTGGAAGTCAGAAAGGAACGACCCGAGGGTGTTTATGCCGGCTGCGTGGGGACGCTTCGCACAGGCCTGGATTGAAGATGCCGAGTGGTGTTGCTTTTGGCGGTTCTTTAGATGTGAATAATGCAGTGCAGTCCTTCTTGGTCTCAGCCTGTGACACTGTCCTCATCTCCTCGAGGAAGGCAGAGCTCAAACACACCATCAGGTGTGGGGATTCTGCAAGACAAGGAACTTGCTGCTGTCATAAACCGCAGCAACATTTCAAGAAGTGACATGGAGATCGCTCTCTTTCTCTCTTTCGTTTTGGGTCTGTTTCAAGTGCCTCGTCATTTTGCTCTGCAGGTGTTCAGCCAATCCCACACTCAGGCCTTTGCTGACAGAGGGAGGCAGTAACGTACAGTGACCAGCTTGTGATGGATGAGGCCACGCACTCGAGTCAGGTCCTCCACGTAGGCAGCGTGGCCTTGGGTCCTTTTCGCTTTCTGTGCCTTCATTTTCCCATCTGTCAGATGGGGATAATAAACCTAAGTGATGAGGGGATTGTAGCGGTTCAACGAGTTAATGTAAGCAAAGCACTTAGAACTTAATTCAAGTAAAAGCCTGGCACAGGAAGCATCCTTGAGAGATGGCAGCTCTCATCCCTGTCACCCGGTGCCAGTGTCAGTAGTTAGACTGTGGGAGACTACATCTCTCTGCAGCCATGTTCTTATGACTTCCCTTCTATGTGCCTTTCTTAGCTGACCCGTCTGCAGAGGTTTTGAGCCATACTTATGGAGATTTCAAAAAGGGGGCCTCGGCTACCTATGTGACATACCTCATCACAGCAGAAGAAAAGAGACGTCCTCAGGGCTTGTCTGAAGTCTTGAAATATGAGGTCGATGTGGGGAACGAGTCAACCACGCACGGCTATTACAACGGGAAGCTGGAGCCCCTGGGCTCCTATCGGTAACGTCTCCTGTTCCCTCTCTGTGGGGGCTGGGTCTCCTGGGTGCAAACCTTTGCATGCCTGGGTGTCGGACATGTCTCAGCCACCTCTTCTTCCTCTCGTCATCCCGCAGGGCTTGTGTGGCCGGCTTCACCAATATTTCCTTTAGCCCTGACAGTGGACTCATCGACGGGAACGGGAGCTACGTGTCCTTCAGTCGCTACTCAGAGGCCGTTTTCTTGCCCCAGGATCCAGGTAGAGGAAGAACATCAGCGCTGTTAGTACTTCACTGGGTGTCCACAGAAGGCTGGGTGTCTGTGGGCCTCGCGAGGGTCCAGGAGGGTTGGAGTGCCTGGTTTCTCCGCTGCGAAGTTGAGATGTCCCTTGGCAACAAGGTGCCCTACGGCCCTGCCCCCTCCCCGAGTGTCAGCTGCACTACAGTCTGCAGACTGCTTGGTCCCTTTTCTCAGTGCAGTGGTTGGTATGCCTCTGTGCCAGACACGCAGGGTGACTCAGGGCACAGGATCCTTGAAGGAACCACAGGGATCGTCTTGTCCAACTCATTTTGCAAATGTGGGTGTTAAGGCCCAGAGAGGGGTGATGAATCCCTGTGGCTTGGAGGCAGGCCCGATGTTTGGTCTCAGACCCCGTGCCAGGCGAGGTGAGTTAGGAGCGTCAGGGACCCAAGCAGGGTACATCCCCTGCCTCTCAGGCCAGAGCCATAGTGACCAACTGGCTTGTTGGTTCGTCTGGTTTTCACACTTGATAGTTGTTCGCTGTAGGAAAGAATTCCTGCCCCAGAAGCAAAGTGCAGGGCGTCTCCACACCCTTCCCCAGTAAACAAGTGGCTTTATGTCGCCTGAGCACGGTGCTGTGGGCACTTCTGCTCATACGTGGCTGTTAGTCTCCAGAGGTGACAGGTGTTCCAGTGAGTGCCTCACCAAACAGGGCTGAGCCCCAAGGCATTCCCCACTCCCACCCCTGCCTCAGCTCGAGTGGTTTGCCTGGTTTCCTATTTTATGTAATGGGCCTGCTGCACCCAATTTCATCGAAGAAAGAAATTCATGGGTAAGAACCTGGGAATCACTGATCTAGCCCAGTTCCCTACACTTGCTGTTGGGAAAACTGAGACCCGGAGAGGACCAGTGAGTTTCGCAGGCTCTCCTGTTAGTAGTGAGGTGGGGTCTAGAGACCCTAATGCTTAGACTGGTTGTAGGTCCAAAGGTATTTACCTCTGTGCATGTCACATGCACACACGTGTGCACGTGCTCTCTCTGGTTCCAGTGGTTGGTGGACATCTCTTGAAGGTGCCTCCCATTTAATCTTTCACCAGGTGTCATCTGTGGAGCCGTTTTTGGATGTATCTTTGGCGCCATGGTTATTGTGGCTGTTGGAGGCTTCATCTTCTGGAGAAAGAAAAGGTGACTATTGCTTCTATTAATAATAACACCTTACTTTTTAAGGGAAGCTTTTTCTTATGGGAGATTTCAGACTCCCACGCAACTGGAAGGAATAGTGTCTTGAGCCCCCAGGTCCCCATTATCCACAATCTCAACTGTATGAACAGTCTCATTTCATCTCCACCCCGAGCTGGAGGGTTCTGGAGCAGACTCCGGCTCCGGTGTCGGGTCATGGCTAAGCGCTGCAGTGTGGGTTGGTACTTTCAGTGTGTTCTGGTTCACACATCAGTTTCCTGGTCTTGAGAGTTCGGTTTAGAGTTCGCTCGCTTTGAACACGTGCCCTGTCTCTGACCAGCCGTCAGGGAGCTGAGCACTATTGTCTTCATCCGTCCAGGGGGCAACAGCGTGTCTGACTCATGACGCCGAAGAGCATTAAATGAACACAGTGCTTTGTGCAGTGTATGTACCTCGTATGCTGTGACTAGTTCATCTGTATATCCACCACTTGAGGTGGTTAATTAGTAAAAATGCCTGTTTTGAGCGCTTCCCGTATGCCTGGATTTGTGCTTCCTTCACGAGGCTCTGTGAGGCAGGTCTTACAGGCCCCATTGCAAGGAAGAAGCTGAGTGTAGGCAGTGTGGACATCGACCCGAAGCTGCTCTTCGCTCTTCATCAGGGGGATGCATTGCTGTCATCGGACTCGGCCAGCCTAGGAATTTCCGTCCCGCCAGGGTTTGCATCGCGGCTACGCGGTTCTGCCTCCACCTTGCCCCGCTGAGTTGGCCAGCAGAGCTGGTGGTCCAGCTTTTCGCATTAGATTCTGATACTTTTATCTGGTTAAAATAAAAGCGATACATGCTGTATAGAAGAAACAAAACAAACACAGAGCAAAAGAAGAGCAAAGAAATGAGATAATCCATAATCGCAGCACCCACTCGAAGCGACCGTTAACATGGCTGTGATTACAGAAGTCACCCAAATACTATACATGCATACACGCAGCCAGGTGGCCTCCGCTACACATTACTTTCTAGCCTGCTTCATTCATGGAAGACATGGGAGAGCTTCATTTCTTCTTCATTTGGAGTGGCTACAGAGTATCTAACTGTATGGATATTATTTAACCAACTTCCTAATTCTTTTCCCCTTTGCCACAGTTATCTATCCTTGTGCCTAAATCTTTGGGCACATTCATGATTATTTAATTAAATTCCAAGCTGGGCAGTGGTGCAGCCAGTGGGTATACATGTTTTTGATTTTGATACTGGTGCCAAATTGTCTTCCAGAAAGTGTGTTTTAAACACCAGTATGGGGTTTGTCCAAGAGTGCAGGAGAGTACCAGGTGCCCCCTACTTTACCTATGCCAGGTGTATTTTCTGGTTTATTTCATTAACTTATTGGACAGGCTTTTCAAAAGCAGAGTATGAAACAATACATAATGCTGTTGGTATATATTTATGCAAGGAATTTCCTGAAAGCTACTTGAGTAAGATTCTTCTGTACTTTTAGATGGTATAAGAGAGAGGAACGTCACAGGTTTATAATCGGCATCTGTTGCTTAGGTCTAAGTTTAGAATTGTGGAGCAGGATTTCAGTGTCATATATGAACGAATGCCCAGGAAAATGGCATTTTTAGATACGTGAAAGGACAAAGCATAAAATTAACCTTTTTTTTTTTTTTTTTTTTTTTTTTTACCTAATGTTTGTTTTTCCTTTTAAAACAGGAAAGATGCAAAGAACAATGAAGTGTCCTTTTCTCAAATTAAGTAAGTCTTTTTGGCCGTGATCATCCAGAATTTCTTGCTAACTTGTTGTTCTGCAAGGGAACTGTGTTTATCAGTCTCTGCACTAGCTTCCTGGCAGGTGGGATCATACTGACCATATTCTACCAGCCATTCCACTAATATATATGTATTGTTTGATTAAAAAAATAGGTTATCGAGATCTAGGATCAGAGGACTTGCTCAAAGTTACAAAGCCAGTCAGTTACATCACAGGGTCTAGAAGTTGAATTTCCTGATGCATGTTTCCAAATCTGTAAATAGCATTATACTGACCCCTTCCCCAACTCCCTGTCCCGCCAAAAAATTATACTATAGATGTTCTTTTTTGGGGAAGATGTTTACTGTCATCTGCAGAGGCATGGTTGGGTCATTTTTTCCTAACTGTCTATTTTTCTTTCTTTCCCTTTCTATGATGAAGACCTAAAAAGTGAGTAAACTCTCGGCTTTTTAACATAACTTGTGTTTTTCTATTTCAGACTTTCTTGAATGTCAAACATCCTAATGCCTTGTTTTGTTCTCTCAGATCCAAGTTAGTGAAAGTGGAGCATTTCGAGGCCTACTTTAAGAAGCAGCAAGCTGACTCCAACTGCGGGTTTGCCGAAGAATACGAAGTACGTGGTTGTGAATACCAAGGTTTTCTTTGGCTTTGTTGTTTTTTTTCCTGAAAGTTGTAAGACTGCCCATTTCCTAGAGAGAGCTAGAAACATCGATGAGAGAGAACAGCAACTGGCCGCCTCCTGTATGCCCCCCACTGGGGGTCGGGCCCACAACCTGGGCATGTGTCCTGACTGGGAATTGAACCGGTGACCTCTTGGTGCATGGGTCTACACTCCACTACTTAGCCGCACCGGCCGGGCTTTTTTAAAAAAAATTTTATTTTTTTTATCAGCATTTATTTATTCTGCCTGGCTGTAGTGTTAGTAATTTCTGTCTAACCTCCGTCCCAGGTTGTAAGCCCTGGAAGGCAAGGACTGTCCTTTCCTTTTGGCCTCTGCGACAGGTTTTGAGGGCCAACATAACAGTACCGCACACCGGGTGGCTGCAAACAGCAGGAAGGTATTCTCTCACAGTTCTGGAGACCAGATGTCCAAAATCAGTGCGTTGGGCAGGGCCGTGCTCACTCCAGAACCTCCTGGACGGAACCCTGTCTGCCTCATGCGGCTTCGGGAAGCCCGGGCCTTTCGACTGTGGCTTCAGCGCTCCAGTGCCGCCCGTCCTCGAGGGGCTGTCTGCCCTGGTGTCTGTCTCCGCCTCCCTTCTCTTATAGAAGGGCATCGGGCACAGGGCGTTCAGGACCCGCCCTGCTCCAGTGTGACCTCATCTTACCCTGATTACATCTGCAAAGACCACAGTTCCAAACACGATGGCATTCACAGGTGCTGCACTGCAGACCTGCAGCGTGCCTTCAGGTGGACATAATTTAACCCGGAGCATCTCTGCAGTCCCACTTTTTTTTTTTTTTGTTAATCCTCACCTGAGCATATTTTTCCATTGATTTCTTTTTTTAATTTTTAGATAGAGTGGAGGGAGGGAAAGGGAGGGAGGGAGAAAGAGAGAGAGAGAGAGAGAGAGAGAGAGAGAGAGAGAGAGAGAGAGAGAAATATCAGTTCCTCCTGCACAACCACCAGGGCCATGGATCAAACCTGCAACCCAGGTACATGCCTTTGACCAGGAATTGAACCCAAGAACCTTTTTGGTCCGTGGGCCTACACTCTAACCTCTGAGCCAAACTGGCCAGGGCTGCATTCCCACTTTAAAAACAACAACAGTTTTATTGAGGTATAATTACAAACAATAGATTGAAAAAGTTTATTTTTCTCTGTGCTTTATTGAGAAATAATTGACATACATCAGCGTGTAAGTTTAAGGCGTATAGCACACTAGTTAGACTTACAAATACTATGAAATGATTCCCGCAATAGGTTCAGCTAACATTCATCTTCTCATATAGATACGATAAAAAGAAAATTAAAAAAAAAGAAAAAAAAATTTTTTTCTTGTGATGAGAACTCTTAGGATTTACTCTGGTCTGCCACAAGAATTTTTAAAACATGTACTACCTGACTATTTAGTCAGTGGCACTGGTCTCTTTTCCCTTTGAGATATATATACACACACACACACACACACACACACACACACACACACACACACGCACATATATATAGAGATAAAAAAATGACAACAGCCAACACAACAATAGCTGTCCAGTGTGAATGAATCAAAATTATACCTATTTCTTTGGTCAGATTGGCAAAATATATTTTTTGGTGTGCCGCCAAATTTTAGTAAATTGTTTCTGTGTGCCATGAGATGGAAAAGGTTGACAGTCACTGCTATATAGGGTGGGTCCTTAACCCCCTGTGACTGATGCCCTTTTATAAAAGGAGGAGGGAGGCAGAGACACCCGGGGGAGGCGGCCAAGCGAGGAGGCAGGTACTGGAGTTTTGCAGCCACAGTCAACAAATATATATTCCTATCACAGAGGAAATATGGGATATACCATAGAGGAAATATGGGCTATACCATATAGAAAATATATGATGTATAACACTATAGCCTTAGCTATAGTCATCATGTTGCATTTCCACTTTAGTTTCTCATACTCTATGTTCAGTAAAAATAATATCTGAACAACTAACTAAATGAAACAACTCATTTATTTTCAGGATCTGAAGCTTGTTGGAATTAATCAGCCTAAATATGCAGCTGAACTGGCTGAGAACAGAGGAAAGAATCGCTATAATAACGTTCTGCCCTGTAAGTTGTGTCTCCCACACAGTCCCTTTCTCTGTCCCTGGCCATTGCGCTCTAACAGCAGGAGGCGGGGAATCAGGATACCAACTGGCCACTCCCACAACCGTTCACTGGTCGCCCACTGGGTGCTAAGCTCAGTATTTGGGCATATTCCACTGAATTCAGTCCTCCTGACAACCTTATGAAATCGAGAGTGGAATATTCATTTTGCAGAGGAGGAAAGCGAGGCACAGAGTGGCGAAATGGTTGGTCCACAGTCACCCAGGCAGCCCTGGCAGGATGGGGCTTGGCTGAGGTCTGTCATTTTCATTCAGGGACAAGGCCAGAGCCTGTGCTCTTCTTTTAACCCCCCCCCCCAATTACAGTTGACATTCAGGATTATTTTGTATTAGTTTCAGGTGTACAACATCGTGGTTAGACCATCACAAAGTTTGCAAAGTGTTCCCCCTGGTATTTCCAATTCCCACCTGGCACCATACACAGTTATCACAATATTATTGACTACATTTCCTCTGCTCTATTCTGCATCTCCACGACTGTCCTTTAACCACTGGCCTGCACTTCTCAATCCCTTCAGCTTTTTCTCCCAGCCCCCATCCCCCTCCCATCCAGAGCCGGTGCTGTTACCCCGCCATCTCCCAGCTCCTTTATTTTAGTTGATATAGTTCTGGAAGGAAGGAGCAGGAGGAGTACCGGGATGTGTTCTCCTCGTCCAGACATGTCTGGTTGGGCTGAGTACATCCCACACGGAAACAGGAATTATACTGGATTCACTCCTGTTTCTGAGAATTGACAGTGTCTGCAGCCTAACCGACAGGGATAGCAGCACATTGAATTTAAAAGGAGAATTATTTATTACATCATTCATTAAGACTAAATGTAAACCCTTTCCCACAGAAAGTTCTTTGTGGTTTATCTTTTGGGTGGGAATTCGGACACAGAGACATGTCAGTAGGTCATGGCTGTGTTCTGACTTCGCTGAGATCTGTAGGCTCTACTGATCATTTTTACACCAGGACATTTAGAGACAGTGCCTCTTTTCTGTGAGGTTGGTTTTCCTTTCCTGGCTGGAAATGTCAACTTCTGTTTAGAGTCAGGATTTTCTAGCACCTGGGTTCTTTCTGTTCACCCCCCCATGCCCCTTGTGTTGACAGTGGAGACATTGATCCATATTCTGAGATCTAGGCCGGTGTTCCTGCCCCAGCACGGCCCTTCCAGGGTTACCAGGGGTTATTGGCCTGTTCTTGTGACCATCTGTGGAGATTTTCAGCTCCTGAGTTTGGGTATTGTTTTTATCGGAATCTTTTAGGCTGGAACTCATTTTGGTAACTGGGTTTGGAATTGTTATATTATCTTGTCCAGGGGAGGGTGAGGCACTGTGCGGTCACAGACCGGGAGACATCGGTACTGCTGCTGATACCCCTGCCTGACGTTTGAATTTAAGGATATTGTTTCATTTCTCAAGTGGGGCAAGTTTGTATGTATTTTTGAGATGAAATTACTTAGAAAAAATGAGAAATATGTGTTTTAGATCCTCCCACCCATAGACGCCTTATACATTCAGTTTATTCTTGAACTTGCTACTATCTTTTTATAACAACTGTTTTATGAGACCAGAGAAAGTGTGAAAAGATTAACCTGAATATGTACCCACTAGGATAATTTTGTTTATTAGTGGAAAAGGCACTCAACTTGAATTCTGACTGCTGTTCACAAATATCAGTGCCTGAGAAGTCATTCAATCTTTCTGATTCAGTTTACTTGTCTGTAAAATGGGCACAAAAGCTTGTAGGGTGGTTTTGAGGAAAAAGTAAAATTGCTTAGGCCATTCCTGGCTCACCCAAGGGTGCTTACAGTGGTGGGTTTGTTTAGTCTGGGGAGGCGGTTTGACCTGGTTAAGAGCTGGGGCCCTGGTGTCAGGCTACCTAGATTTGATCCTTGATTCTGCCACTTACTGTCACATAACTCTATGCCATGGTGACATCGGGTGACTGTGAGGAGGAAATATGGCTGCATGCAAACAGTGCCAGCCTGTGTACCCCCAAGGTGTGCCAGAGCCCTGTGCTGCTAGCTCGTCCCTCTTTTCCCTCTCTGTGTGTCGCTCCCTCAAACGTTTGCTTCTCACGAGGACCTTTTTTCTCTTAAATTCACAGATGATATTTCTCGTGTCAAGCTCTCAGTCCAGATCCACTCAGCTGACGACTACATCAATGCCAACTACATGCCTGTGAGTGGGAGAGGTGCTCAGAGCACTGGCTTGTGGGGACCCTTCTGACCTCTTCTTTCTCTTTCTTTGACCGTGAATGTGGCTCGCGTTCTGTTTCAGGGCTACCATTCCAAGAAAGATTTCATTGCTACGCAAGGACCTTTACCCAACACCTTGAAAGCTTTTTGGCGAATGGTTTGGGAGAAAAATGTATATGCCATTGTCATGTTGACCAAATGTGTTGAACAGGGAAGGGTAAGCATCTTTTAAAAATATATATTATTACATTTAATTAATTCATTCACTTTTTATTGTTGTGGAAAGATATCTTAACATCTCTTTGTCTTAAAAACAAACAAACAAACAAACAAAAACAGTAACAAAAACCACTCTTCACCAAACAGTAACACCTCTATTCTGCTTTTCTGTCTTTTTAGTCTCCAAATGAAAAGAAAAAAAAAACAAAACAACTTATTTAGAATAACATAAAAGAAAAATTACAGAGTGAAAAGAATCTTAAAAAATTGATTGTAGCCCTGGCCAGTTTGGCTCAGCTGTTAGAGAGTCGGTCTGCGGTCCCGAGAGACCCGGGTTCGGTTCCCGCTAAGGGCACGTACCTCGGTTGCAGTTTGTCCCCGGCCCTGGTTGGTCGTGCGGGTGGCGGCCACTCGATGTGTCCCTTCACGTCGATGTTTCTCTCTCTCTCTCCCTTCCTCTCTCTCCCTCCCACTCTATCTGTACAAAAAATGGAAAAATATCCTCGGGTGAGGTAAAAAAAAAAAAAATCGATTGTATTACTAGCTGTGTTGGTGGACAGATAATAGTCTCTATTCGTTAAGTCACTGCTGCCGGAGCTGGTTAATAGCAGGAGCGGGGTTGGCATGTGCAAGGTCTCCCAGGCCTGGAACAAGATGCTGCTGCTGCTCCGTCCTTCTCCAGCTCTGTGATTGGTGCAAGCCCCCTGTGTCTCTAAGCAGCCAGCTTCTTCCTCTGTGAGACGGGTTACCTGACCAACCCAGGGATTTTCAAACTTGGTTTTTAGCACTGGAAACTTTTCTTAATGCCAAATCTCAGACGTGTCCCTAATAAGTCTCAGCCGTGCCCTCTCCCTGCAATGGCCTGAAATCCCCAGACTGCTTCCCTTAAAGATAAGATTTCTTCTAGTAATAAAATCTCATGTTTCCATAAATGGATCTGAGGAGAAGGAGAAAACATGCTAAATTCACGAGTTCTGTGTCCGAGGAGTAGGACCTAATGTTGCTCTTGAATTTGTTCGTGTAGGTTTGTTACTTGAGGAATAGGATAGGACTTGGCTCCCTAAGCCAGGGGTTCTCAAACACACACCTGCATCAGAGTCACAGGGAGGGAGGCTCCACCTTCGGAGTGTCTGTGGTGGGACCCTGCACTCAGACCGTTCCCAGGGCTGGGCTTCTGCAAATCCAGGATGCACCCTTTGAGTAGCACTGTGCTACTTTTTAATTTAATTAATTAATTAATTAATTTATATTGGTGAAAGAATTACAGATGCCCCCCCATTTTTCTCCATTGACCCCCTCCTTCCCTCTCCCAACACCCTCCTGCCTTCTCTAGTCTAATGTCCATGTCGATTGTTTGTACATACATGCATATAAGTTCTTTGGTTTATCTCTTCCCACCCCTGAAACCTTCCAATTTTAAAAGAGTTGGCAACAGTTATAAGTTAAAAAACAAAAAAACAAAAAACAACCCACAATTTTAAGGATCAAACAGAACCCAACCAAAGGACTCAATCGGTCCTGATGCCATTTGTCAATTTCCGGGCTTTCTTGGTGCTAGCAGATGGTGTGATCTGAGTCTTTGTATAAACATGCACTTTCAGCCCTGGCTGGGTAGCTCAGTTGGTTAGAGCGTCTTCCTGATATGTCAAGGTTGGGTGTTCAATCCCCGGTCAGGGTACATACAAGAATCAAACAATGAATACATAAATAAGTGGAACAACAAATCTCTCTCTCTCAAATCAGTAAAAATTTTTTAAAAATGCACTTTTATTCTAGACCAAATGTGAAGAGTACTGGCCTTCCAAGCAGGCCAAGGACTATGGGGACATAACTGTGGCAATGACCTCCGAAATTGTTCTTCCAGAATGGACCATCAGAGACTTCACTGTGAAAAATGTGAGTAAGACGTGAGGATGGTTCACGCTCATATAAAATGACCATATGTTAATTTTAGGGGTGATACTTTTTTAGGTTAATATTAACCAATATCTTTGTATGCATCCAAAATTTAGTTTTGCTTTTTTCTTCACAGAATAAAACAATTCATATCTATACATACTCAAAGGCCACCCTTTAGCTTTGCTTTCTCAGGGGGAATTGCATGTTATTCTTGGGTAAAACGGACGCTAAGAGTGTGGCTCAGCATCCACAGCGCCTTTCCTTCCCCTTCCGGGTGACTTGCTCGTAGAGTTTTTGTTACAAACCGAGGCCCCTTTGCACCGGTTGTAAGGAACTGTGGCACCAGCAGAGGCCATTTCCCCTTGGGAGCAGTTTGTGACAACAGTTTCGCTGATAGGATTCCAGGGCATATACACACAGCTTCCCTTACCCCTACATTATGAAAACAAATCCAATAAATTGTGTGGGTACTTCAGGCAGTCAGTTTAGGTGTCCTTTTTTGCCCCCCAAGGGTGTTTAAAAAGAAAAGCAGTGTCAGGAAGCGACGTTGGTATCTTCTGGTGGGCGTGTAAATTGGCTTGACGCTTCGCGGTTTATATCAAGGGCATCAAAACGACCATTCCCCTTTGGTGGTTCCAGGTTTGCGAATCTGCCCCAAAGAAACAGTCTGAAATATAGGAGGAGGCTTATTATTCATAAAAATGAATCTCAGCACTATTTGTAATGGGGGAGGGGAGGGGGGAGCAGATTTGGAAACCATGCAAGTATCTAGCTTTTGGAGAGCGGATAACTGAATATAGGTTATCTTGTCATTGTATCATTATTCAGCTACTAGTAGTGATAGCTATGTAGACTGGATAATTCCCATGAGTATAATTAAGTGAACATACTAGGAGACAAAATTTTATGCATATAATGAATAGTGTATAAAAGAAAAACCTGGAAGTAGATTCAGTGGTGTTGAATTTTATGGGTGTGGGGTTTAGGTACTAATTTATGAGAATTTTCCTTGATGATTTTCATAAGTCATGGATACAGTTTATTATATTAAGTATTAACTCTTTACTAATTGCTGTGTCTCAAAGGCCCTGGCCTCAATTAATATTTTATTTATTTATTTATTTTTATCCTCACCAGAGGACATTTTTCCATTTTTTGTTCAGGTAGAGTGGGAGGGAGAGAGGGGAACAGAGAGAGAGAGAGAAACATCGATGTGAAAGGAACACATTGAGTGGCTGCCACGCGCACAGCCAACCAGGGCCGGGGACAAACTGCAACTGAGGTACCCGCCCTTAGCGGGAACTGAACCCGGGTCTCTCCGGACCACAGGCCGACGCTCTAACTGCTGAGCCAAACCGGCCAGGGCTCAATTAATATTTTAATTCCTTTCCTGGAGATGCTGTCAAAGCTCTTATTGTGCACTTGGTTGTCCGCATAAATAAAGCAACTCACAATTGTTAAGAATTCTTTAAAATGTCATGCAGATTTCTATAGATTTCACCCATGTAAAATGGACTAGCTTATCCTTGGTTGTTTTTACTGCTTGGGGTTCACCTTCATGGAAGAGAATTGTGGGTTGAATGTCCACATCATTTAAAAAAATTACTATTGCCATTATTATTATTTTTTATTAACTGGACCTCAGACTTTACCTGAATTTCACGTTTTTCCACTGAAGCCCTTTCCTGTTCCAGGATCCAATCCAGGATACCACATGGCATTTAGTAAAACACTTACTTTTTAATTATAGAAAATGAATGAATATATTTTCCTTTGAAAACATTTATTTATTTTAAAATGTGTTTTTATTGATTTTCAGAGAGAGAATCTTTTCCTTTTTATTTTTATTTATTTATTTATTTATTTTATCCTCACCCGAGGCTATTTTTCCATTTTTTGTACAGATAGAGTGGGAGGGAGAGAGAGGAACACAGAGAGAGAGAGAAACATCGATGTGAAAGGGACACATCGAGTGGCTGCCACCCGCACGACCAACCAGGGCCGGGGACAAACTGCAACCGAGGTACGTGCCCTTAGCGGGAACCGAACCCGGGTCTCTCTGGACCGCAGGCCGACGCTCCAACCGCTGAGCCAAACCGGCCAGGGCTCTTTTCCTTTTTAAAAGTGGGAACATAACAGATAGAGTTAAAAGTCTCTTTTGCCCAGCCAGTGTGGCTTAGCGGGTTGGGCGACGTCCCATGGACTGAGAGATCCCGGTTCGATTCCCGGTCAGGGCACATGTCTGAGTTGTGGGCACGATCCCCAGTCAGGGGGGGGGGGCATGCAGGAGGCAGCCGATTGATGTTTCTCTCTCACACCGATGTTTCTATCTCTCTCTCTTTCTCTCTCTAAAATATCCATAAAACCATATTTAAAAAAATTTCTTTTGACTGTCACCCCTAACCTGGACCCCTTTTGCCCCCCTGTAGAGATAGTACTGAAAAGTCCGACCCTCCCCTGGTCCTTCCTCTCCTCTTGTCGCTCAAGGCTGGCTTTCTGTGGGTGAATACTTCTGGTTCAAGTTGTGACTGCTGCGTTTGTGTGTCGTGGGACTTCCCAGCACCCTCTCCCTGTCTCTGCCTTGTTTCCTTACTGTCTTCCACATTTTGAATAACGTGGATGCACTGTGTTTATAATGTATATGCATTTTTAAAAAAAGCCTCGAAGGGGAGCTGTCATCAAGGAGATGGAAATGCCCCCAGTCCTGACGTAGGCACGCACGGGTGAGGGCAGTGCCTGGCTGTGGGCATGATGAGTGCAGTTGACTCAGGGACGGGAGGGGCCCGGCCTGGGCAGGGTCCTGATCACCAAGGTACATGCTTCCGTCTGTGGTAGGAAACCAGCCTGTGTAGTAACTGTCTGTTATAACAGGGTCCACTTTCCATTGTCGGTCTGAGGTTGAAATCGCTGGCTTTTTGGGGGAGGTCCTTTGTTAGGTGCCCGCAGTTCTGAATATTTACTCGACGCTGCTGTTTGCCTGCATGCCATTACATTCTCTGGGAGACGTGAGCTGTGAGGCAGTTCTCCCTGAAGGCACCGAGGATCACAGTTGTATTCGTGGGAATTTACTTCTGGTCAGGGACATCGCCGGGTGGGCTCAGGGACGCACTCTCTGAAGCTCTAAGGGGTTGTCGGTGTGAGGATGTGAGCACATCATAGGCAGGAAACTGGTGGGAGAGGGGAGGGGTCTGGAAACTCAGAGGATGAGGGACTTCGACCCCTGGGCTGAGTGTTGGGGATGTCACCGTACTTCCTGGAACCTTTGCTCCCTTGTCTCGAAGGGGCATAAGAACCCTCCAGCGTGGGCATGTGGTGAGGATTTCTGAGCACAGCGAAGTCCGTGCAAGCGCTTTGTTAAAATTCTGGTTTCTAGTCGGACCACCCCTTTCGGTGCCTTCCAGCCGTCCGGTGCGGTTCAGCATGCAGGCGCTGCCTCATTTCACCAGCCTTTCTGATGTTGCCAGGCAGCCTGTCTCCCTGGATCTAACCTCTAATTTCTTTTTAAAAATATATGTTTTTATTTATTTTTAGAGGGAGAGGAAGGGGCAAGAGCAAGACAGAGAAACTTCAGTGTGAGAGGGACATTTTTTGCTGCCTCCCATACACACCCTGACCGCATATCCAAATCCACAACCCTGGGCATGTGCCCTGACCAGGAATCAAAGCACCGGAGGATGCTCAGCCAACCGAGCCACACCAGCCAGGGCTGACCTCTAGTTTCTTTTCTTGGCTTTTAGAACCAGACGAGTGGCAGTCACCCTCTGCGACAGTTCCACTTCACGTCCTGGCCTGACCACGGGGTCCCTGACACCACCGATCTACTCATCAACTTTCGGTATCTCGTGCGTGACTACATGAAGCAGAGCCCCCCCGAGTCGCCAATTCTCGTGCATTGCAGGTAGGCAGGTGGCGGTTCACGCGAGACCGGTTTCCCAGGTAATCCTAACATGGCCACTTCTGAAAAGCTAGGTCTAAGGTGGAATGCAGTAGGCATTTACAAATTCAGGAAAGGTTTGGATAAGGTACCACGACTTACTCCCTAAACCCTGGGATGGGGATTGGCAAACAATAGCTTGTAGGCCAGATCTGGTAGGTTGCCTGTATTTTTTTTTTTAAACCATAATTTATTTCTTATTTGTAATATTTTCTTGTACACTATTTCAATCTTACAAAAATATAGAGAATAATAATTTAATAATGCATATCTTGAGGCCATATATATTTATTTTTGTTAATACGACATTCTAGATATTAAGTCTCCACTTACCAGCCTCCTATCCCATTCTCCTTACATAGACAAACATGGTCCTAAAGGTTATGTACGCCATTCCCTTGGCTGCTTTTACATTTCATCGCATATGTATGTATCTATGTGGCTTCATACAGCGGTAACTTATCAGATTTTATTGTGTATACATCACTGTACGACCTGCCTCCTTCCTTCAGCATGTTGCTTTGTTACTTAACCGTGTTGAAACTTGTAATTCTACTTTGTTTTATTTATTCACTTAAAAATGTTTCTGATGTACACAAACTGCACGTAACTTAATATCTGCAACTTGATGAGTTTGGCAATAAGTACATACACAGGAAACTATGACCGTGGTCTGTTTAACTGCCTGCTTTTGTACAGCTTTCCTGGGCCACAGCCACGCTCTTTGTTTACACATTGTCTGCAGCTACGTTCATGCTGCAGCGGCAGAAAGAGACCGTTGCAAACCGAGGGTATCAGTCTGGCCCTTTACAGAAGAAGCTTGCCACCCCCTCCTCTAGAACAGTAACATTAGGTTCTGAGCTAAAGACTCCATTTAGGGCCGAAGAAAGGATGGGCTGCGTTGCCCTGTGGGGATACGCTGATGAAACTTCCCATCCTCGCGTAGGGCGGCACCTTGATGAGAACTGAGATTCAGGAAGCTCTAGCACCGAGTTTCATTTGTGGCATCTGACTGCAAAGGAACTTTGGAACTTTGGGTCCCTGTCCCAAGCTAGCTGACTCGCTGAGGTTTCAGTTGAGCGGATGTGTGATGATCCTGGGTTCTGCCCTCAAACAATGGAGGAGAGCGAGATGCATGCCCCGGAGGTGTGAGCTGTACTGTAACCCTCAGCCAAGTGCTCATCTCCCTTCTCTTTTAGCGCCGGCGTTGGGAGGACGGGCACTTTCATCGCCATCGATCGTCTTATCTATCAGATAGAGAACGAGTACACTGTGGACGTGTACGGGATTGTGTATGACCTTCGGATGCACAGGCCTTTAATGGTGCAAACAGAGGTGAGGCCAACATCTGTTTCACAGTCCACCTTCCTGTCTGTTTTTAAAGGGTTGCCTTGCGTCACGCACTTGTGTTACACTATTTCACCCTTCCAGAGCTTCCCGGCTCTTGGCTGTGATGTAACACTGGATTTCTTTAAGACCCTCAACTGACACGGGCTTGAGCTACCGGATACAGTGACACGTGGTCCTGATACCAGCGATGGCGCTACAAACCTAGACAGGGTCAGGATCCTCGCCCGCGGCTCCTGACTCACCGAATAGTCTTAGCAGGTCTCTCGACTTTGGCTTCCGGATCTTACACTATAAAACTGGCATTTTCACTCTTGGTTAAACTCTCACGGTCCTTAAAATGAGCTAGTGAAAGGGACTTACCAAATAGCAATACCATGAAACAGCATAATGTTGCTTCAAGCGGTAACGCAGCAACACGCCCAGCCTGGTGACTGGGAACAGCTTGGATTGCGGAGCTGCGGGAGGCCGGTGAGCACTTGGGAAAATGAATGCGCGACATCTGCTTGTCGCTGTGCAAGGCTGTTGGGTTTGGCTTCCCCTGAAATGTCCCCGACAGACGTTTTCGAGGCATGTTCTCCACAGACGTGTCGGGAAATGGCCTTTCTCAAAGTGTGGAGCGACTGCCCCTTGACCAGGACGAGAACAGAATGTTCATTCCGCGCCGGGCTGTGGCTTGCACCAACTCAGAACTCTGACCGTGTGCTCTGCTCTTGAGTCCAGCAGGGAATGTTCTAGAGACCTGGGCGCACTGCGGGCTTGGGGGCGAGGGGCGTGGCTGCAGTGAGGAGCGTGGACTTCTCCTCAGAAGAGACGCTGTCTTGTTTCTGCTGTAATTATGTAGAACAGCACTTGCCAATCCTTTTCCCCCTTTTGAGAGACACTGAGCTCTTCTACCTGCCTATAAATTATGTTCATGTCCCTTTTTTATATTTTGGAAATAATATTAACTGTCGATGTTTAAAAAATCTGTCGGGACAGGATTACATGGAGTATATTTTTCTCTTTCACTTTTTCTTCCCCAGTCACATGTCCTGGAAGTAGCCGATATTTACAGCTTGTGTATATTTTCACAGGCTTCTTTATGTATGGCGCTCTCTCTCTCTCTCTCTCTCTCTCACTCTCTCTCTCTCTCTCTCTCTCTCACACACACACACACACACACACACACAGATTCTTTTAAAAAAATTGGATCCTGTTTTATATATAATGCTGCCCTGTGATTTTTTTCCCTCTTACAGCATCATGGATGTTTTTGTGTGTCAACATATACTTTCTCTTGCTCTTTTTAATGGATACCTGCACATTCTGATATGCGCGCCTACAGGTGGTCCCCACCTGACTCTACCCTGATCCTTAACCCACCTCCTCTGTTGAGAATCACAATTTACTCTTGATTCTGCAATCCTCACCAGCCAAGAAGATTTTGTAGGACTTTTTATTGTTTGGACATAGGCGTGCATTACCTCCTCCACATTCTTTCATTGCCCTCCCCAAGATTCTGGTATTTCTCCTCGGGTGTGAAACTGGCACATGGCAGATGAGAAGTTGGGACTGTCTGGGGCTGTGGATGGGTGGACTTTCTTGGTTACCAATGGGACCTGTTCACTGTTTGTTCCTTGAGAATTATGGAAAATCAGGAAAAGTGAGCTATGACTTTTTTTTTTCTTTTTCAATACAGATTAAAAAAAAAAGAGAGACTATTTTATACAATTCCCATGTAAGAGCCAGGTTCCTGTTGGGTTGCATATATGTTAAACAACAGAGGTCTATTTTTACCTGCCGTATCTCGGCATCTAGCTGAGCGCAGCTGTGGGGAGCCTGTGCTTCTGGCGGGGCGTCATCGACGATGACGTTCTTGTTGCAGATTTCAGCAGAACGTGGTTACCTTTGGACACATGTGGACCTGGAGTGGCTGCTGCAGGGCCGTGGGCTTGGGGCGTGGGAATCTGAAACTAATTTGGTGCTCGTCTCCGCGACCAGCGCTCATTTCCTTTCTCCTTTCGTTTCTAACAGGACCAGTATGTTTTCCTCAATCAGTGTGTTTTGGACATTATCAGATCCCAGAAAGACTCAAAAGTGGATCTCATCTACCAGAACACAACCGCAATGACAATCTATGAGAACCTCGCCCCAGTGACCACGTTTGGACAAACAAATGGTTACATCGCCTAATTCCGGAGGAAAATCTCGCTGGAGTCCATTAGACCATCACACCCACAGCAAAGGAAAATGCCCCAATGTTGACATGTTTTTAGATGTCTAATATCTTAATGCTTTGTTCTGTTTTGTTAGAACTAATGGAGGGTGTGAAGCTCCCAGGTCACACGGGACAGATGAGAAGTTGGGGCTGTCAGGGGCTGTGGATGGGCGGAGAGCAGATCAACTGCATTCCTGGCCACCCGTGGGATGAGTTCATTTTTTTCCCCTTGAGAATTGTGGAAAACCAGGAGAAATGAGCTATGATTTTTTGTTTTTCTTTTTCAAAACATTTTTTTTTTAAAGACTATTTTATATGATCCATTGTGGAAGCCAGGATCGTGTTGGGTTGAATATATTTTAAGAATCAGAGGTCTATTTTTACCTACTGTATCTTGGAATCTAGCTGATGGAAAATTCATAGCTGTGGATGATTATCATGCAGGGAGGGGTGTGTGGCCCCCTCCCCTGGGTTTCTCTTTGAACATGTGCCTTTTCTGAATTATGCTTCCACAGGCAAAACTCAGTAGATTTCTATATTTTTGTACTGAATCTCATAATTGGAATATGCGGAATATTTAAACAGTTGTTTAGTATCAGCCTTCTCAGTAACATTCCTGTTCTTATTTGATTAGAGGAGGCCCCCCACCCTCCCCGTTTTGTGTTCTATTCCTTCTTCCCTTTTCCCTCCCAGTTTTCCCCAAAGACGTGTGTGTCAGTCACATTTCCAGCCCACCGGTTGAGTGAGAGTGGAGACTAAAAACACCTTGAGAAATTGGGGGGGGGGGTAGGGAAGCAAAGGAACTCTACCGCGATGGACTCTCCTTTTCCGGTCCCTGTTTTGTCCTTTTTCTCATTTCTGTATTTGGTAAGAAGGATTATTTAAAGGTGCAATATGTGACTTAGTGATTCAGAAAGCTCTAGGTTCTTAGCAACGTTTTACTCAGGTTGGCATTTTATGTGTGTCTGTGTAAATGTGTGTGTGTGTTTAAACGTGTGGCAATCTGTGAACATGTCAGTGTGAAAACAGCATCCGATGAATTCCTCCTCCTTCGAAGTCCACTGGCTTTAGTCTGTCTGCAGTGACACATGTTGGTATCTACTGTATATAAATATACATACTACACTCTTCAAAGCAGTCATTCCTTGGAGTTGAGGTGTACAAAGTTTGAATTTGTATCAAAGATGTAATTATTATTTTTAAAACCTTTTTTCACTATACTGCTGCTGTAATTACTTTGAATTAAAAAAAAGTGTAGATTAACTTTTTTTTTTTTGCTTCCGGTGTGTATCCACCAAGAATTTCAGAATTTATGTGGATTAATTTTATTGGTACATGATCTGTAAAATTCTCAAGGCATTAACATGAAAGGATTTGTTTCTTTTTATTTTATATTGTGGCTCAGGTTATATTGTGAAGAAGTTTTGAGTGTATCCTCCAATCGGTGTTGAAGTACACAAGGTCTTATGAAGGAATATCCATGTCCCCGCAAGCCCGTGGCCCTTGGCCACAGCCATAAATCCTGCTGTAAACTTAGGACAGGTGTGTCCTATTGAAGATGGGGATGGGGTCTTCTCCGGTGCCCTGGCCCCCGTGGACCTGTGGGAGCCTCTCTGCTGACCCTGCCTTGCTCCTCAGCTCACCAGCACTTTGATGACTGACTGGACACGTGACTGGGTGTTTTGGGGTTCAGAAGGGTGAACCAGGTTGTATTGACAGCCCTTGATCCGGTTCAGAGGTCACTGCTGTACGTCTGTTATTCCCTTTCCCTTTGAGGTACCGGAAGAACGAAAAGGAGAGGCGGCGGTGGTGTCTTGTTTTGGGAGAACCTTACTTCCCAAACGGAAATTGCACTTTTTGCTGAATCCTTTGCTGTCTTTGGTAGTAAGCAGTTCATTCAAGGTCAGACCCTTTGAGGAATGGGTTGGCCTGGCCAGGTTGGGCCTCTTGCTGCCACTTCGGAGGGGCCGTGGGCTCTGCCGGTCCGGATCGGGGAGCCACGCCGTGGCGGGGTGTGGAGTGCAGCTGGGCTGGTCTGGCCCCCGTGTGCAGGTCTCGGAGAGTCCGTAGCTTCATCCAGAGGTCCCTGTTCAGGCAGCAGTCTGGCCACACCCCTCCCCACTCCACGTTGTCAGGCAACCATGGCGATGGGGGTCGTCCAGGTGTCAAATCCCTGGAGATGCTATGCCTTGCCCTGCCCGCATCACTACCACGGACACATCGGAGGGAAGGACCTGGCTCTAAAAATTCCTTTAACATTAATGAAAACAACCATGATTATAACCATATTGTATAAAAACTCAAAAAACAAAAGCCCTCCTCCCTTCCGCCTGGCGTGGGCTTGGGAACTGGGCAGCAGCCCCACGAGCCGCTCCCGGATGTCATCCCCAACCCCAGAGGAAGGCTGTGCTGGAGCGCTCTGGATTCTGAGTGGCGGGTCACACAGAGGTCACCATGCCTCTGCCGCCTGAAGACGCTGGGAATGGGGCCAGCGGGGGTGGCGAGAGTATTTATAGCACAGGGATTGAAAAGGGAAGATGGATGTGTAAATATAATGGACATCGTGGCTGGGGAGGTGGCCATAGGAAAGAGGAAGGTGTTTTTGAACTCCTGCCCAAACCCTCCCAGGAACAAAGAACTAAAAGGTGAGGAGGCCAGTGGAATTATGGAGATGGTGGGATTGCCCTGCTTTTGTATTTGACAGTCACATACAGAAAAGCAGCCAGGGTGTCATTAGTGGTCATCGGTTTGGGGGATTTGGGTCATCGAATCTCTTCTCAGAGCAAAGACGTTTTGCCTCCAAAGTTCAATCGAGTGACGATCGGGACCGGGAGGAAATGACATCTGTGGTCTGTGCTCTGTGGCCATGTGATGACCTCCAGCTAGCTGTGGCATCCGTGACCCCACTGGATTTGGGCTTCATCAAGTCTGAGGCTCCCGGGGGGTGGGCCCCCCTATGCAGCTGACACGTTCGCTTTTCACCTGGATGAAAAGCCTGGTTCTCTTTTGGAGTGATTGACCGTGCATATTGAGCTAAAAAGGACTTGGTGACGGATGTTGATTTGCCTCAAAAGTCCCAAGTTCTGAGTTTGCAGACTGTCCAGAGCAGCCAAGCCTTCAACATACTGTAGCTTTTCCCCCCTCCCTTGGGGCACATATGGGTAGGCTGTGTTGATGTAGACTCTAAAACTGTAATTTTCTTGTAACTATTTTGGAATGATGCATATTTCTAATGTTTGTTATACTTGTACAGAGTATTGCTGTTGGTTGCTTTTCTTTGTTTTTTAAGGAAAAAAATGGCCTGAAAAAATTTTTAAAAAAGACTTACAAATACCAAATATAAAAAATGTCAACACATCATGCCTCTGTTTGTTTTCTTCCCTCCCTACTTGGTGTCCACACCGTTTCATTTACCGCTCTGTTTACTGGCCTGCGTTCGACTGGAGCATCCTTGACCAAATCACCGCCCCTGGGGGATTTTGCACCTTGTGTTAGTTTGCGTGGGCAGCCGTCACCAGGTACCACACCCTGGGGGCTGAAACAACAGAAACTCATTTCCTCACAGTGCTGGAGGCGAGGAGTCCAAAATCAAGGTGTCAGCAGGGCTGGTTTCCTGCGAGGCTGCTCTCCTCGGCTTGCGGATGGGCCGCCACCTCCCTGCGTCGTCACACGGCCTCCCTCTGTGTGGTCTGGGTCCTGGTCTCCTCTTCTTATAAGGACACCGGTCATATTGGATCGGAGCCCACCCTAGTGACCCAATTTTACCTTCATTACTGCTTGAAAGTCCCTGTCTTCAAATACAGTCACATTCTGAGGTACTGGTGTTCAGAACTCTAACGTACGGATTTTGGGGAGACACAGTTCAGCCCAATGCACACACCTGGGGAAGTGACCAGGAGACTTGGGAGAATTGAGTGTGCATCTAACACGTGGCCGTGTGTGCTCTCAGAAGATCCGATGAGTGGGTCTGCAGATGGACAGGCACCCACTTGGAGGTGACATGCATGCCTTAGGCAAGCCCCTAGGCCTTGTAGAGGGTTTTTGTTGATGGATTTGGGGAATCCCAGAATTGCTGGGATACTGTAGCAATTCGGGTAGTTTTTATTTCATCCCTTTCACTTGATGCAAACACTAAGCAGACTAAGATGATTTTGTTTTGAGATCTCGTTCCTCTTGCCTGAGACAGATTAATCCATTCAACAGTGGTACACGGACTGCCTGCTGTGCACCAGCCACTATACCCCAGGGGCCGAGGGTCCCACGGCGAACACAAGGGACAGAAATCCCGGCCCTCCTGGAGCTTACGTTCTGAGAAGAGTCAGGCAAACGACACGTACATAAAAACTTGAGTGTGTTAGATGGTGAAAATATACACTAACTCATCATTTTCACGTAAGAGAGATCTCTGTGCTCCACACAAGCCCTGCTTTGGGGGATGAACGAGAGACGCTGGACGCCGCAGTGCACACTTCTCAGGCCCGTCGGGGAGACGCTGAAAGCAGGGCAGGCCTGGCATAAGGGGCAAGTCCAGAGGGGGCCGTGCGTGTTGGTGCAAATGGAGAGTGAGCCCTGCGAAAGGCAGAGGGGTCGAAAGGAACAGGTAACAGGGATCCCAGAAGAACGGAGTGGGTGGCATTGAACCGAGTCTGAAGCAGGATTTTAGCAGGAGGATAAGGGGGCGGCACGGGCTGTGGAAGTCATGCCTGGAGCATGGGGAGGGCTTCCTGGTGACAGGAACAGGAGTGTGCGGGGAGGGGCAAGGTGACGTGGTGGCGCAAGACCCTGAGAGGTAAGCGCTCTAGGACTGTACGAATGGGTGACGAAAACGAAAACATTGTACCAGGTGTGTGAGTGTACAGACATACACACATATATATGTAAACACATACACAAATATATACATAGGGTGTCCTCCCAAAAAGGTATACACACTTAACAGCTGATAGCTCAATTGATGTGTCTTTCTTTTCAGATTGAACCCATTGGAATTTATAATTATTCAAGTGTGCATACATATTTTGGGACACCCTTTATAGACATGCACACACACACACACACACACACACACACACTTTTACCTTCACTATTTTTTTTGGACAGAACCTGCATGGTGGTCACATGGGTGACCCTGATAGGATGTAAGGACATAACCAGACACTTGATGGTTAGTGGGAGTAAAGGGTATAATTGGCCACATGCAGGGCACACTGAGCACTTTCAGTGGGAACAGGCGTCCTGGGCCTTTAGGTCCCACTAGGTTCTCAGCTGTCACTGATGTTCGGCACATCAGCAGGGGGTCCTGCAGGGCGTCTGAGTTGTTTCCTTGCCAATCCCTCTCTCCCTACCTCCACACTCCCTTTTTTTTCTCTTTTTCCTATCCTCGTCTCTCCCAACCAGATGGAGGCTGTGGCTAAATGCCGGCTTGCTTGCCAAGTGCAAAATAACTAGTAGCCATTCCAGCACATTCCTGAGTTGTTTACTGCGACAGTGGGGGACATAAGGCCAATTTTCCAGGCATGGTGTCCCTTAGTATGTCCGGGTCTGCCTGAGGTCCATCGTTATAATCAGTTTTCTGATTTAGGCAAAAACCACAGATCTGGGGCATATCACAACTGAATTATTCCAGACGTACAGAAAGTGTTTTGCTTTGAAAAAGATGCTGCTGAGTGTCTGGCAGTATGAAGAAGGGTCCAGGGTTCGGAGGCCCGGGCTTTATTTCGTTCTCTTGGACCCAGAATGACTGAGTGGACATCACAGAGCCGCTCCACGTCTGCAAGCATGAGGTGGCAGAGAGCTGAGGTTTGTCCCTAGCACTGGGAGTGCAGTGTCCGTGGCCTGTGGAATACAGTTGGCCCTCGGACAACTCGGGTTTGAACTGCATGGGTCCACCGACAGGCGGATTAAAAAATGTAAACACGGTCAGCCCTTTATATTGGCAGGTTTTGCATCCATGGATTCATCCAACTGTAGATGGGAAACTATTTTCTCATTCATAGCTGCAGATTCCCAACCGCAGATTCGCAATCTTGGAATCGAAATTACATATATATGTGTGCTGCTTTCCATCCCTGGATGGCTGGATCCCGGAATGCAAAGCTCCGACTGTAGCGTCGAAAGTTGTGTGTGGATTTTCCATGGCGTGGGTGTGGGTGCCTCTAACCCCGTTGTCCTTCGAGGGTCCACAGCACACAGGCCCCGCTGCCTGAGCAGAGGTGGGCGTGGGGACGTCCTTCTGATAAAGCGGAGGGAACAGACCCAGGCCCCTACGGAGGTAATTTCCCAGGGTGTCGAGCCTGGGTGCCGTCTGTCCGTCACACCTTCTCCTGGGACCTTTCCGGGGGCCTACTTTCATGTTGCACACCTGCCACTCAACAGAGAAGGGGCTTGAGGTAAGTTTAGTCAGAAAAAAGATGACAGCTACTTTTTTTGCACAAATGAAGGTGGTTACAATTTTGCTGCTGCAATTGCGGAGACACTCAGCATTTTGCCTGGAACACTCAATAAGTGGTAGATAGATATCCACTGATCAATTTACGTTTTATTGATCATGGAACACTCAGTAAGTGGTAGATAGATATCCACTGATCAATTTACGTTTTATTGATCATGGAACACTCAGTAAGTGGTAGATAGATATCCACTGATCAATTCACGTTTTATTGATCATCCACGATGGGTGGGCCGTGGGCCCTGGGGATGCACATTTGTGAAGAAAACAGGCATGGTCACTGCCTTGTGGAACTTAAGGGCCTGTGGGAGAGATGGGAAATTGAAAAGGAATCAACCTATATTTTCTGACCCACGGCAGCTGGAAGTGAGAAGGCAGACAGGGAGGGAGAGGGCAGGAGGGGCTGAGGGGACCAACACCTTGAGGCAGGAATGTGGCACTTTAAAAAAATACATATTTTATTGAATTTATTGGTGTTACATTGGTTAATCAAGTTATCCAGGTTTCAGGTGTATGATTCTATACTCCGCCGTCTGTATATCGTGTTGTGTGTTCACTGCTCCAAGCGAAGTCTCCTTCCATCACCATTTATCCCCCCGTTGCTCCCTTCTCCCTGCCCGCATCCCCCGTTCCCTCTGGCAATCACCATGCTGTTGTCTATGTCTGTGAGGGTTTTGGTTTTTTGCTTAATCCCTTCATCTTTTTCACCCAGCCCTCCTCCCCCATCCCTCTGACAGTTGTATCTATGAGTGTGTTTCTATTTTGTTTGCTTGTTTATTTGGGTCATGAGATTCCCGTGTAAGTGAAGCCCTACGGTACGTGTCCTTCACTGACTGGATTATTTCGAGGAGCGGTTAGGAACAGCCATCTCCGGGGCGCAGCTGGTGGGGGAGCTAAGGGCACACGAGGAGCTGGGCAGGGTCGCGTCCTGTGTGGCTTGGTATGGCGCCAGGAGGAGGCGGGATGTTAGCCCCTGAGCAGTGGGGGCCACGAGGGTTTCAGCGGGGCGTGTCCTGATAGTGGGGGTCACTGTGTGGAGAGTGGGTCGTAGGAGGGAAGTCTGGAAGCAGGGAAGCCGGTGAGAGGCTCTGGGTTAGCAGTGCTTTTGGAAACATGATGGTAAACTGATGAGTGGAGTGGCAGTAAAGAGGAGAGAGGGGTGGATTCGAGAAATACGATGATGGTGGGCTGATGCACACCCCCTCTCCCTTGTCTTTGACTCGAGACAAGGCCGTGCGGTTTGGTTTGACCCATGGGTATGGACAGAGCGACTACCAATTCCAAGCCTGGACCATAAGAGACTTTCCTTGTTTTTATTGTCTCTCTCGTACTTTAACCATTGCTGAGAGAAGAAGCACCCCCGGGTAGCTGCTGCTCCATGAGCCTGGCCCCCAGAATGAACACCTGTGGAGCAGAACTGCCCCAGCCAAGCCGGAGGAAACAAGGGACCATCTTCTTGCTCCTGGCTGAGTGTGGGGAGCGGAAGAAGGAGGCAGGGAGAACAGAGGTTTAGGCTCTGCTCCCCAAAGTTCTGACAGCCCTCCCATCCCTTTGGGGCTGGTTGTGGGAGATCCCTGGGACGTCTGAGGAAAAGCATGAGACCCTAGGCTTTACCAGTTACATCCTATCAAAGTCACCTTCCTGCAGCAGGTAAGGCCTTCAGGTCCCTTGAACAGCGCTGGCTGGGGGCAGCAGTTTTGGATGCGGCCACGAGGTGGCGCCCGAGGACCGGGCTGAGGACGCAATCCTTGGTTAGGCCGTGAGAGGGCAACCGAGGAAAACAGGACCTGAAACAGAACCTGTGAATTGATAGGAGATGCCAAAAAATCAACAACAGGGAGACGGAGGTGTCCTTGCCAGCAGTCAGTACCTTTCCCCCCTTAGGACTTGTATCATATGT